GTTAATATGTTGTGGGGTTGTTAACCAATGTCATAAAACAACATGTGTACTACTGTTGCATGAGAAACTATTTGTTCTGTAAGCCTTCACCTGAACTACAATAAAATATTAAAAAAAAAAAAAAATCAAGTACAACCCAACCTACACACAAATAGATCATGTAATTATTAAAAAAAAATTACAATAGCAACAAAATATAACTAAGAATAAATCTAACAAAAATTGTATAAGATCTTTTTAGATATAATTACAAAGCTTAATATGACACATTAAAGAAACTTAAATGAATAGAAAGGCTTTGGGAATTGGAAGACACAATATCATAAATACATCAATAATTCCCACATTATTTTGTAGTTTCAATCTAATTTAAATAAAAATTCCATCTGCTATGGAAAAAAAAAAAATCTGAGCCCTCCCAGAGCTTAGAAACCAGGAACAATAAATATAAATATTAAACAAAATATAGTGTTAGTCATAAGTGCTAAAGAGAAAAATAAAGCCGGGGAAGGGGACATGAAGTTTTGGGGTGGGAGGGTTGAAATTTTACCTAAGGTAGTCAGGGAAAGTGATGGTTATATATGAGTAAAGATCTAAAGAAGTCAGGTAATGGCTATCTGGTGGAAAAGAATTCCAAGCAGAGGGAATAGCAAGTACGGCGTCCATAAGGCTGGCCGTGCAAGATGTGTTTGAGGAGACCAGTGTGGCAGATGAAGAGTGAGCAGATGATGTCAGATAACAGGACATCAGATTATGCAGGGACAGCTAGATCACAGTATGAACTTTGACTTCTGCTGTAAGTAGGATAGGAAGCCACTGGTGGTTTTGAGCAAAGGAGTGACATAATCTGACTTACAACAGGACCACTCTGGCTGATCTTGTTGAAAATAGACTCAAAGTAAGCAGGGACAGAAGCAGGGAGATCTGGCTATCGCCACAACCCAGCAAGAGATTATGGGAGCTTGGTCCAGGGTAGTGGCCGTGGGGGTGGTAAAGAGTAACCAAATTCAGATACATTTTAAAGGTATGGCTAACAGGATTTGTGGAAGACTGATTGTTGAGTATGAAAAAAACAGAAGAGTCAAGGATGACAAGGTTTCGGGCCTTAGCAACTAAAAGAATGGAGTTGCCATTACCTGAGATAGAACTGCAGGTGTTTTGGACATGCTACATTTCAGATGTCTGAATTTCTGAAGCACTGAAAGGTTTTCCTGTGATGACTTACATCCTGCATGTTCCCTGTCACTGAAGTCTTCCTTTTTAGCAAAAAGACCTATTGGTCATATTCCTTCAATCTTCTGTTTCTTGGAAATGAAATTACTGTAAATTTTAATGTTACTGAACGATGCAAATGAATAATCAGAAGCACTAAAACCCAACCGCTTTTGGCAAAATACCCCTTTGGTAATACAACAAATTTGGAAGTCAGAAAAAATGATAATGTCTAGTACTTTTAAATGATTGCTATAGTAAAGTGTGTTTCGTTTGTTCTTTGGTGGGTGGGGAGAAGAGGTCATTTATTCTGTAAGAAAAGTGGGGAGAATTAGCATTTAAAGCTTACTTTTGGAAAATAAAACCAACATAAATAAACAAGGGTATTTTAAATGCTACTTATATAAGATGTGATATTCAGTAGAATTTATCTGTCACTATGTATGTGGTATTACTCAAAACTGAAAAGAAAATGCAATTTTCCAAAAACAAAAATCAGTGTCTCTGAAAATTTAAGAATGCAATGATATGCCCTCCAGTCTACTTCTCCACTGTTAACAGAGATAACATTCAGGTTTGATTATCTTACACGACAGGTTAAAATTCTTCAATAGTTTCCCACTGCCCAAAAGGAAAATGCTCATTTTTTCTTAACCTAACATACAAGGCCCTCCATGAGTCAGCCACCAGCCTTCTCCTCATCTTGATTTTCTATCATCTCTTTCTACACATCTTATGCTTGAGCCCAGATTTTTCCAAGTGATACCAGTTCAAGACTTACCACATAAAATGGGCTTATGTCAAATATGTTTTGCAAATGCCCTCCCTAAAGACTTAGAATTAATGTAACAGGGACACTATGAAATGCTGCATTCCCCATACCACAGATCTTTTTGGTGTAACACCTACTAATATGCCCAGTAATATATTTCACAAAAAACTCCTCTAGCCATGTGAAAGGACTGCAATGCCTAGTACCCAGCATTGTTTCAGACTTCTATGCTTTTGCATATGTTCCCTCTGCCTGGCTGGCTCCTTTCCTCAGGTCTGTTTGATGAAAGGCTTCTTTCAAGTCCTTAAATAAATCTTTAAAAGTATGCCACATTTCCTCTCTGCCCCTCCCTACTCCCAGGAAATATCCATCACTTCATCCTTGCCACACAATTAAATCTCTATTACTGAATTTGTAGTCATTGTTGGCTGCCACTGACTTGACTCATGGTGACCCACTAGAGATAGTGTATCATATTACAATTATTTGCCTACTTGTCTGTCTCCCCTGAGGGTAGAAACTTTTAATGCTTAGTGCTTGTATTTGGTGCTCACTTAATATTTATTGAATGAATTAGCTATTACCTACACACAGGCTTTAAAAAAAATGCTATTTACTATACTTTCTTTAATATTCTTTGCAATAGTCCCTTTCCCCATCTCAGGCTTATATTTATCTCATATGATTTAATTTTTTAAAATACAACTGCAGTTATGCATTAATTTTGCTTGTTCTCAGATGACTAGATGGTGTTAACAGCTGCATAATTTGACAATTAAAATCTCATTCCTGCTAGGTTAATCTTTGGCTAGTCAAAACATTTTCACTTCAGGAATGCACAACTTTCACAGATGAGAATGTTCCTATGGTATTCAATACTCTGTGCCCAGGACCTTTCTAGAGAGGGGCAACCAAAAGCACCACATTTCTCTTTAAGTACCTCAAGTCAGTGGAGTTTTCAAATTCTAAAACTTAATAAAACCCTGAAGCCCTGGTGGCACAGTGGTTAAAAGGCTGACAACCAAAAGGTCAGCAGTTCAAATCCACCAGATGCTCCTTGGAAACCCTATGGGGCAGTTCTACTTTGTTCTGTTGGGTCACTATGAGTCGGAATTGACTCGATGGCAACAGGTTTGGGTTTTTTTTTGGTTTAATAAAACCCCACAATAATATAATATTTACAACCTGTCACTGCCTTTCCTGAGCTCCCATGTCACTTGGGTCAAGACTATTAACGCACTCTGCTATACTGTCATTTATGTGTTCCTTGTCTCTCTATCTCCCTGATTAAGGAGCCCTGATGGTGCGGTGGTTAAAGAGATCGACTGGTAACTGAAAGAGTGGAGGTTCAAAACCACCAGCGGCTCCACAGGATAAAAATGTGGCAGTCGGCTCCCACACAGATTTACAGCCTTGGAAACCATATGGTATTGCTATGCGTTAGAACCAACCCAACGGCATTGGGTGGTGGTGATGGTTTGTCTCTCTCTCTCTGATTAGAGTATGAGCTACTCTAGGGAAGTGGAGATTCATGCAGTTACTAACTCAAAAGTCACTGAATGAAACTACATTCTTTCTGGCCTACTCAATGAAAAGTTTCAAAAGGACTCTACGAAGCAAGGGTAAGACCTAGTGGTGGTATAATGCAAAAAAGACTAGACTGCAATCACATAACTAATATTCCCAACTGCTACTTTGAGATCCTGTGTTAGTTTCAGTTCTTTATAGGTAAAATGGGGGTATCTGCCCTAACTTACTGAACCTTTGAAGATCCGACATCATCTGTTCAGTTAAAAAGTCAGTACTAACTTACGATGTTAACAGGTTGTTAAATTTACTTATCCATTGAGGCAAACTGAAGCATAATGAATACTTTTCAAAGGTCTTGGAATGTGTAAACCCAAATCTAATCCTAAACCCTGATTTTACACGAAGCCTCAACAAATCCAAAAAAAGTCACAAGAAAAGATGGTCGCGGCTCAAAATCATACGTTGTGGCCTCTGTAATCAAGACTGATCAATTGCACATCAATCTTTTCACCTACTCCCATAGAGAGCGGCAGCTTTCTGCAGCTTTATTACTAGAACTGAGCAAGTACTGTGCATTGGACAATTATTTCTCATTTTCTTTTTCATAGGAAAAGCTTAAGTCTTGATATAACACATTCCATTCTCAATGAATTCAAGTATGTCAACTTAAGAAACATATGCCTAAACATAGCTTTGATTTCAAATATGTCTTGGTTCACACACGGTTCACAAATGGACCCCCCCTTAATTGAAATACGATGCCATTGCAGATTCGCCTGCAAGGCTGATGATTCCGTTTTCACCGATCAAACTCTATGTTCATCAGTTTAATTGCTCGATAGAGAACTCCCTTAAAAAAAAAAAAAAGTTTCCCCTTATATCTCGGCTCCTTCATCTTGCTTTTACAACCCGGGCTTTCAGAAACAAAAAGCCCGCGAGTATTTTCAAACAGTACCTCTTCTAACAAGAGACTACTCAAACGATTTATTAACCACGTTTCTTGTATATTCTGGACTAGCTCTCAAATCAAATTTGAAAACACGAAAATAGGATTTTAGATCGACGCCAACAACAAGAAGAGCTACCTGATGTGAAGAGACTTTGTCACTTAACCAAGTGTGATAAATGACACAACTTTTTTAAGTCCGAGTAACTTTCAAGACATCCCCTCTGGGGGATGGCACACACTTTTCTCGCTGCAGTCATTTCAGCTTCCCAGAATCCCTCAAGGGTAGAAGGAACACAGAGCCCACCCTTATCCAGGAGCAGCAGGGAAAGAAGACATCCAGGGAGCGCACCGAAGGTTTTGGAGCGGAGACCCCAGCAGAAAGGGTCCGCTGAACCACGGTTCGCCTGAGAACAACTTGGATTCCTCCAGGGCGCCGCAGGCTTCTCAGAGAGCAAGCCTCAAAGGGACACTGCGGGAAGAGAGTCTAACCTGAGAGGCTGCGGGCACTTGCTACGGCGGAAACCAGTTTGGGGGTTGAGAACAGCCAAGGCATGACGGCCTCGCTCACGCGTCAGGAACGAAAGAAAAAAAAAACGGCACTTCGCCACGAAACCGGGCAAAAGCCCCTCCCTTTTCGGACGGCGCCGCTCACTGGGCTTTCCTCCAGCGGCGGCGCAGGGTGTTGACGTCACGCTCGGGGCTGTGACCACCGCTTCGGCCGTACGGCCTTAATTGCGTCATGGCGTCATGGTCAACTTGATGCGCATACTCACAATATGCCCAATTCTAAATGGCTCTTTGGAGAGGCTGTTATCTCCCACCACCTTAAAAGCGCTCGTGTAAGGGTTCACCCATCCAATGAACTGGCACGTGCATAGAGCAGCAGGCAACAGCACGGACAGCCATACTTCTAGAATGTTCTAGGGAGTGCGCAGGAACACAGGTGGCGGGGGTAGAAATGAGCGAGCGAAGGACCCGGGGTCACGAGACCGTTGGGTGGGCGGAGCTAGGGGCCAAGGAGGTTCTAGTCTGTTCTGTCTCGCGGCAGCCGCCCCTTTCTACGGGGTCACGCTGTTAGCTCCCAGGCTAGGAATCGGGCCGCAGTCTTCTCTGCCGCGCCCTCGACCTCCCGCCGCGTCAGGACCATGGATCCCCGCAAAGTGAGCGAGCTTCGGGCTTTCGTGAAAATGTGTAAGCAGGACCCGAGCGTTCTGCACATGGAGGAAATGCGCTTCCTGAGGGAGTGGGTGGAGAGGTGAGACCTGGGTCTGAGGACCGTTGTGGGTGGGAATAGGGAGGCCTGCTGGTGGAGGAGCTGGGACGCAGCTGGCGTGGGGCCGAGGCGAGGGGAACGCGGGCGCCAGGGCGAGCGGCGTCGCGGCAGCCGTGGAGGCAGGAAGGGTCGCACTTCTGTGTGGCCAAGTTCCTGGCCGGGAAAGGGAAGAGACTTCCAGGGGCTAATGGATCGGGAGCTTTGGCTAGTACAGGGGCGGGGAAGAAGGGGACAGAACGGGGTTCCCGAAGCTTCAGTCGTGAGTATATTTTGGGCAAAATATAAATGCCGACGGCTGTAGACATGAGGGGCCGAAGTGAGCACTCCCAGTTTATGCGTGGAGTTGTTTTTGTTTAAATCTTGGTTTCCACCCTCGCATTGACGCATAGCACCTCTTTCACCACTTTACCTTTAAGTAGTGTTCTGTAGTTGTTTATTATTTAATTAAAGTTTCTAAATTATCGTGATAAAGGAAACCCTATTTGATTACCTTTTATTTTTTCACAGCGATCCTAACTGCGTAGGATTGTCTTGGCAGTCAGTTGTTAAACAGCCGTTGGTGGCAATGATAGCTTCAGACACTTACAGATTAAGAAAAATGATTTTTCAAGGACCAGCATGCTTCTAGGATCTATTTGTGCTCTTTAGCTCTTGAGTATCTCGCTACGTGCGAGATACTCAAGAGCTAAATTGGACAAGCACTGTGCCAGGTGCTGGGAAACAGTAAATACAGTCTATTTAGAGATTGGGAATGAGTAAAGATAAAATTTTGTTCTGATCTTTACTATGTAATAGAGGTAGGTACTACATATTGGAGGGGTGTCTAAGGGTGAAAGGGAACTATTCCCCGAGGAGATAATTTTAAAAATGACTGTTAAGTGGTGAGGAGTTTAGAAGAGATGATAGTGCAAAGCATTGTGAGTCCTAAGAGGTACTACTTTCAGCATTGGTATGGTTATTTTAGTAGTATTTTTATAAGGGAAGAAAACTGTGAGTACCAAATAGTTGAATATTTCTTCCAATAAGCTTGTCCTAGGGAAGAGACATAAGTTAACATCTGTGAATGTCGTAAATGGTGGTATAATTTTTTTCTCTAAGAAGTTTCTCACTTAGTCTTTTTAGCCACCAATTTTCTACCTACTGCAAGATGTTTGCTCCCGTTGTGTATGTAAAATTCCGAGAGCATTTAAAATTAAATAGTACTATAGTACAGTGGGAAACCCTGGTAGCGCAGTCGTTAAGTGCTACGGCTGCTAACCTAGCAAAAGGTTGGCAATTCGAATCCATCAGGCGCCCGTTGGAAACTCTTTGGGGCAGTTCTGCTCTGTTCTGTAGGGTCGCTATGAGTCGGAATGGACTCGAAGACAACGGGTTTGTTTTGGTTTCTAGTACAGTGAGAGCCGGAACTCCACGGGACTGCCTTGTTTTTCCAGGTCTCCAAGCTTTCCGCCTTTGACAGGGTGCATTGACCACTTTTTAAAAACACTTGAATTTTCCTTCTCTGACAGGTTGCCGCCTTACACAGGTTCCAGTTTTTGCAGGTTTTACTGTAACTTTATTGTTCACAGCAGTCAACAAGAACCGTTTCGCAGTTTCTTTGTTTCTCAGGAGAAAAACCCACAGTTCGCTGTTAGGGAAATGAAATTTTCCCAGATGCTGAATTTTTTAAAGTTTAGAGTTATGTGACTGGCTCTTGCTAATAATATAACTGGTCTTTTTTCTTTAGTTGCTTTTGGGACATGAATTTCAGGACTAGTAGTTGAGGCCTGGATTTTAATCACTTTCTGTATTGAATAACTTGACAATCCAAAAAAACTCACAAGATATTTGCATGCTTTTATTCTGTTGTATGTACTCATGAGAAAAAATCCTAAGAGTAATTGTTCTAAAAATCCAGGTAAAGCAGACTTCTACCACAGGAAGAAATAGCTGTCACCAGAGGTGAATGTTGTAATGAGTGGATACACTGTTATATTCCATTTCTACTAGAGAATAAGAGGGGGACACTGAAGAAAAAGTTAAAACGTGTCAGTGTTTTGATTTAAGCTGAAGTAATTACGGTTATGTAGAGAATTCTGTTTGTCTTGCAGTATAAGTAACTATAAAACAAAGCAGATTGGGTGCTATCAAATTATAATTATGAATGAGGTCCTGTGTGATCCCATTTGAGGAAGAGTTCTACACCAGCCCTGCTTGATAAAACATAAAAGCCTGCCTTGGCAAAGTCCAAATTGCAGTTTTTTGCAATTTTTGGCAGGAAGTTAGCTTATTGTAAATCTTGGGGAAACATTAATGGAAATTTTTGTACCTATAAACTGGTGTTACCTTCCAGTAGTTGCTAGAATTTGGAATGTGAGTGATTCTAAATCTGTGAATAAATCCTCGTGTTTTTGCTCCATATTTTTTTAATTTTTTAAAAACAATTTCTACATTACATAAAAATTTCAGGTACAGTATAAAGAACTTTTTCCCTGAACTGTTGGATAGTAAGCTGCCAGTGTTCTGTCCTAAGCACCATTGAGTATTTTATAATGTGTATTTCCTAGTAGCTAGGATAGTCTCCATAATATAACGGTCAAACTCGGGGAAACTAACGTTGATGCGTTAATACTATTGAATTCTCAGAATTACGTGTTGCATTTAGTTGTGTCTCTTAGTCACCTAAATTCTGAGACAATTTTTCAGTCTTTCCCTGACTTTCATGGCCTTGACACTTTCGAAAATTACAGGCCAGTAACTTTGTAGAATCTCTCGACTTGGGATTGGTTTTTTGTTAGATTTAGATTTAGCTTCATATGCATTTGACAGGAGTATCACCGCCCAAAGTTTTAACATTAGACTGTTCTGACTATGTTTGGATGTCACCTTAAATATATTCTTGGACGTTGTATTTTGAGACTTAGGCAAAATAGTTTAAGATGCCCAGTAAATTTAACTGCAAAGATTACTATGGCTCTTTTGAAAAATAGTTTTTCTTTAGAGCAGAATTTTTTAAAATTTTGTGGTAGTAATACGCCTATTTATTGTTTTATTGTTAAATTATTTTATGCTGAATTGCAAATTTAAGTGTTTTAGATCATATAGTATCTTTTAACTGCCACAGTAAACAACAGAATGAAATAAGTGTGTACATTTTTTTTTTTTTTTTTTGGTAAATTTAATTTTGTTGAGGATGTATACAGCAAAACACACCAATTCAGTTTGTACATGTACAATTTAGTGACATTGATTTACATTCTTCAAGTTGTGCAACCACTGTAGCCCCCCTTTTCTGAGTTGTTCCTCCCTCATTAATATAAACTCACTGCCCCTAAGGTTCCCATCTAATCTTTCAAATTACTGTTGTCAGTTTGATCCCAGATAGTTCTTAAAAGAGCACAATACTCAAGGTAGACCTTTTTTACTAATTAAGCTAAACTATTGTTGGTTTTAAGAAGACCTCAGAGGATATTTTTGGTTCAAGGTTTAAAGATTTTCTCGGGGCAATAGTTTCAGGGATTCATCTACCCTCTGTGGCTCCAGAAGGTCTGGAGTCCATGAGAATGTGAAGTTCTGCATTTTCTCCTTTTGATCAGGATTCTTCTATGGAATCATTGATCAAAATGTTCAGTTATGATAGCTGGGCACCATCCAGAGAGGCAGTTGTTCATGGAGGCAATTAGCCACACATTCCATATCTTCATATTCCTGACTCTCCTTTATCTGTTGCTTCAGGTGGATAGAAATCTTCTGTTGTACCTTAGGTGGCTACTTGCAAGCTTTTAAGACCCCAGGTACTATACAGCGAACTAAGAGGTAGAGCAGAAGCACGAAACATGTTTTTAGGCAGTTAACTGGAATGTCTCATGAAACCATGACCCTAAACCTCCAAACCTGAAACATCTGAATTTGCAATTCAGCTTTATAAAAGGAGCCAAATCCCATGAGGTGTTTGGTTGTACATAAGCAGCTTCAGGGGCTACTTTTTTTTTTTTTTCCTGTCGTTGTTGTAAATATGTCTGCCGCATAACTTTTGCCAATTTAACTTTTTACAGGTACACAACTTATGACAGCAGTTATAGTAATTGGCTCTGCAACCCTACCCTTAATGAGATTTTTCCATCAACCTTATCCCCCTCCCTCCTGCCCTTGGTAACCACTAATAAACTTTGGTCCCTGTACATTTGCCTTTAGTTATCTTTTTATGTAAGTGAGGTCATACAATATTTGTCCTTTTGTGATTGGCTTCTTTTACTCAGCATAATGTCTTCAAGCTCCATCCATACTGTAGCAGGTATCAAGATTTCATATCTCCTAGTGGCTGAGTAGTATTCCGTTGTATGTATGTGCCACAGTTTATCCATTCATCTTTTGATAGGCATTTAGGTTGTTTCCACCTTTTGGCTATTGTGAATAGTGCTGTGGTGAACATTGGTGTACAAGTCTCTTTTTGAGTCTCTGCTTTCAAGGTGCATGTTTTTCTTGATTGCATGGTGCTTATAAGAAATTCCAAGTTTTGTTTCTTTTGATTACATTTGCTACTTAACATTTATGCTTTTGCTCAATGTTTGGTTGATCAGAATAGAACATTAAGAGAGTGAAAAGGCACCCTGACAGGGAACACAACAGAAAGTCCCGGATGGAGCAGGAGAAAGGTGGGGTGCAGAACTCAAATTCTAGTAAGAAGACCAGACTTAATGGTCTGAGTAAGGCTGGAGGAACCTTGGAAAGCATGGCCCCTGGATTCTCTATCAGCCCAAAAATAAAACAGTTTCCGAGGCCAACTCTTCAGACAGGGATTGGACTGGACTGTGGGACATGAGGTGATGCTCGTGAGGAGTGTGCCTCTTAGCTCAAGTAGATAAGAGAGGCTGAACGGGCAGCTTCTGTCCAGAGGTGAGATGGGAAGGCAGAGAGGGTTAGGAGCTGGTTGAATGGACGTGGGGAATCGGGTGGAAAGGAGGAGTGCGTTGTCCCAGTATGGGGAGAGCAATTAGAGTCACATAACAATGTGTGTATAAATTTTTGTATTGGGAAAAAAGTGAAAAGGCAAGCCACAGGGTGTGAGAAGATATTTGCAACACATAAAGCTGAAAAAGGGCTCATGCAGAATATACAAAGAAAATCTACAAATAGACTACATTGAGTTTGGCAAATTGCAGTCAGAGGGAGCAGTCTCCACAAGACTGCCCTCAGTTCAGACACCAGCCTCAAATTGAGAGGTCCCCATGATTACCCTCAAGTTCAGCTAAAATGACTTGAAAATCTTTAGGAAAGTGGTATAGTTTTATTAGAGGATGGATACAAATAAAAATCAGCCAAGGAAAGAGACACATAGGGCAGAGTCTGGGTCATCTCTCCTCATGGAATTCTGGACTGCATCTTCTGGTCACGTTGTGTGACAACACACAGAGTATTGCCAACTGGGGAAGCTTAAACCTGAGCCTTTGGGGCTGTATCACATACTGCCCGTGTGACTAACCTTTAGTCTCCAGCCCCTACTGGAGGTTGGAACTGAACTGATAGGTGATTCATAGCCACCATCATAAATCACATTGTTAGACTGGTGAGTGAAGCCCCCACACAAAGACATTTCCAAGGGCTTAGAGATTACCTCCCAGTAGTAGAGGGCAAAGGCCAGACCTGTCTTTGGGTAAGGTTAATTCTTCAGTACACAGCAACCTAGTAGATAATTGGATGTGAGCTGAACTTCACAGAAACGGTTATTCAAAATGGCCAATAAATAACATGAAAAGGGACAACTACAAATGAGATACCACCGCACACGTATCAGAATGGGTAAACTTTTAAAAGATGGACAATAGCTGAGTGTTGACCAAGGTGTGGAACAACTGGAACTCTCATACACTGTTAAAGAAAGGGTAAATTGGTTAAAGATCTTTGGAAAACATGTCCATTTCAATTCAGTGGACACATACCCTGAGTCCAGATATTTCACCGAACTGAAGTGAATGTGTACGTAGATATGATAACTTTGGTTATAAAGTCTTAGCTTAGGTCTGTTTTCCAACTTAATATATCTTTTAAGTAAATTATGGCCTTTTTGTTTTAAGGTAAGTTTAAAGTTTTTGTGACTTCCAACTTTGCTATTGTGGCATTTCTTCAGATACATTTTAGTCACTGGACTGTTGCATGGAGCCCCCGTGCCTCAGTCTGGACCAAGTTATTTGTGTATAAGTCATGGTGTTGCCCTAGAGTGTTCGGGAAAAAAGAGTTTGCAAGGCCAAGAGGATAAGGGTAAAGGATAAGAAGGAGAAAGTCTAATATTGGGGGCACGTGAATACTGTATAAACAATCAGAGGGGAAAACATTTTGAATTATTACACTATGTTATTTTATAAACTGCCTATTTGAATTAAACTGAACTACATGGTGCAAGTAGTTTGCAATTGGCCGCTAACTGAAAGGTTGGAGGTTTGAATCCACCTGGCAGCACCTTGGAAGAAAGGCCTGGTGATCTACTTCGGAAATACCAGCCACTGAAAACCTTATGCGGTTCTCCTCTGACACAGATGGGGTCGCCATGAGTCGGAATCGACTAGCGAGCAACTGGTTTGAGTTTTTTCGTTTATTCTTGCTAAATGTCACATTTACAGTTTTGGAATTGAATATATTTATGGAATTCTAAACCCACAACTAAAATGATTCTGTCATTCCCTGCTGGCTTCTCAGCCTCTTTACCTCTCCCTGTAGGAATGGGCATAGAGAATGTACATCATTGTTAGGCTTGTCGTGGCAGGGAAAGGATTAGGTTTTCCTTAACTACTATGGTAAAAATAAATTTTTAAATTGAAAAAGAACTTAACCATAGTATCAAAGCATTCAAATTAATTGAGAGTTTAGTGTATTCTTAAGGTTTTAAAAAAGTAACCATCTGAATGTCTAACTTTTCTTTTTCTTTTTTAGGCGTAAACGTGTTGCTTGACTTAGTTAATTGTAGTTTTCTAAACAAATAATCTTCTTTCTCATCTTCTCAAGCATGGGTGGTAAAATACCACCTGCTACTCATAAAACTAAATCAGAAGAAAATATCAAGGTACGTTATAAATTTCATTTGAGTGTTTAGTGATAAAGTACTATAAAGTTTCTTAGGGATAGATTTTAACTGCTGCTCACAAATTACCACTCCTCATTTTCCCCAAGTCCACTTGGAAATATGATGTTTGTGAAATTTTTGTTATAAGACCAAATCTCTGAAATCTAATTTTAAAATGAGAATTTGGGGTTGAATGTTTACTGTGTTTCAGAATAAATGTCATGTATATTGCATTCTTGGCCTATAAATGGTAAGCTTTGTGAAAGTGTGCATTTGTAGTCTTTAGCACCCAGCACAGTGTCTTACTCATTGTGTTTGCTAAGTAAATGAACAAGTAAATCAGTAATTCTCAATTTTTTCTGCCCTACCACCTAAGGTAGTTTCAGAGCATATTTTCCACAGGGATATGTAAGATCAGGAAGAGGTGGCCAGTAGTTGAAGTTTAGGGATGAGGGGGAAATGTACTTTTCAGAATGCACCCCTCAATTCTTAGTTCTCCCATTTTCTGCCCTCATGTCTAAAAGGTTTTCCCTTAAGTTTTTAATTAGCCGTCTTAAACTGATAAGGCAGTTTGCTGTTTTAGTATTTAGAACACTAAATGTGCGTTTATTTGGGTAGGAGTGTATAAGTTATATCTGTAAACAATTGAAATGAGAAAAATTAAACAGAAGGATCTTGTAGCATGTATGAAACAAAATTATATGTAACATATCTCTGCTAAAATTGTTCATAATAACTTATTTAGAATTATGATCGGTGTTATTCTCAGTGTCTGCTGAAGTGTCTAGAACTTTGCAGACAGTGGAGAGTCACAAATATTTTACAAAGTGGGACTTTAATTTTTAAGAAAAGGGAAGCAATTTAAATAACTAGGTAAATAACGATACACTAGTACAGTTGAATGAGTAGATATAGGTGGGCTGATGATGGTGTATTCTTCAAGATAGCGTTTTGTTAAGTGGAAACGGCAAGGTGCAGAGTTGTCTTATACATAGAGGGAATATCTAGAATGAAATACATAAGAAACCACACTGGTTGCTTATAGGATGGGAAGGAAATTTTCCATCATGTGCACTTTTAAATTTTTTCAGTTTTCATCACTTCTGTGTTGTAGTTCATGAAATATGTAAGAAACCACACTGGTTGCTAATAGGATGGGAAGGAAATTTTCTTTCTATCATGTGCACTTTTAAATTTTTTCAGTTTTCATCACTTGTATGTTATAGTTCCACAGTCCCTTATTTGTAATTAGAAACTCAAAAACTCTTTAAAATGTAAAGATTTTTAGTAAGTGTGTTTGGCAGCACAACATGACCTGAATTGACCTAAGGCTGTTTATAGTCTTTATGGATATTTTGCAGAAATAGCATGTGTTTGATTATGGAGAGTTGGGGGCTGCAGTGCCTGTTGAGGGTGGTATATAATGTATCTGTTGTATTTGCTTTCTAAAAATCCAATTTTATTGAATTCCAAAAGACATAGTTCAAAAGATTTAGATAAGGGACTGGACCTATACTTAATTTTAAAAAACGAACAAAGCAAATTTACCAAAAGAAAACAAGAAAAGGATCACCAACAAGTGAGACATAATGGATGTGAACAGTTTATACATAAATTTGTATTAGTATACATAGTGGGTGTGTTATTAAATACTGATAGGATTGTTTGCCTTCCCTTTGCTAGGAAGAAAAAACAGATAGTAAGAAGCCAGAAGAAAACATAAAGACAGATGAACCATCAAGTGAGGAAAGTGATCTAGGTGAGGAGATGGTAGTTTGTATTTGATAGCCTTATGATATGGTTCTGTGTTGATTTTTTTAACTAAATTGACTGTATCAGTGCCCATAAAAAGACAATGTGAGCTGCATATTGAAATTTAAATTTTCTGGTAGACGTGTTAAAGTAAAAAGAAACAGGTGCATTTAGTTTCAATAATATATTTTTTAAGCCAGTATGCCTAAATATTATCACTAACAGGTAATTAATATAAAAATAATTAATGAAATATGTATTTTTTTTGTACTAAATTTTTGAAATAGTGTGTTTTACACACATAAGACCACTTACCACCAAGTTGACTCCGACTCATGGCAACCTCAGCTGTGTCAGAATAGAGTTGTACTCCAAAGGGTTTTCAGTGCCCGATTTTCTGGAAGTAGATTGCCAGGCCTTTCTTCTGAGGTGCCTCTGAGTGAATTTGAACCTCTAACCTTTTGGTTAGCAGCTGTATTAAGAAGTTTCAAGTTGAACATAAATTCATAGAAGTTTACAAATAAACTTTTCCTTTCCTTGGAGTTTCACGTTGAGCTCAGTCATATGGAGTGTGTATTGGTGAGAAAATGCAACTCACTCTGCCATCTTTTATCTTTTATTATTATTAGGCACAATTTTTTTCCCCCTAAGAAATTCTTTAATTGGAGTTAACAGTTCAGTAAAGTTTTATACAACTCTTCCAGGACTCAACCAATGCATCTTAGCAAAGAGATACAAGATAATTTAATTAATTGCCTTCATTTTCTTTTAACGGTTCCATAAAATTGGCAGTGATTCATAGCATTTGCATGTGTATACTGAATGGTTTTCAACAGTTGTATCCATGACACTTTTCATAGAGTCTGCTTCAGAAAACTGATCACAAATGTTTTTCTGTATGCATCATGCAGTGAAATGAAACAATAAGGGAAACATCAGTTTCCTGTTTTAAAATTTTTGTAAATACAAACTTTTGCTCTAACCTAACTGGAGTGATAGAAACTAAATTTTTCATATTTAACTGAAATTTTTTTGACAGATGTAATGATTCAGAAATATCTATGCCATGAATTTTTCTTGTTTCGTTTTTTGTTTTTTAAGGACACAAATTAACAAAATTTCTTTGTAAATTTGGAGATCCTTTCATCTGAATATACCCCAAGTATTAACTGGGCAATCTTTAATGTCATACAACTTATTTAAAATCTAAAGAAAAGGTACAGTTGTTCACATTATGAATTAATTGATCTTTGAAATGTTTGGAAAGGTCTGTGTTCTGTGGACAGTTGTTAGAGAACTTAATTGACGATCTTTCACTTTTTGTAAAATTTTTAAAAAATCTTTCTCCTACTTTCCTAACAATTTCCATAACTATAATTTTTTTTATTAGCTGTTTGTCTGAAAAATTTTTTTTTTTTTTTTGATGTGTACATGAAACAAGTTGTTTCATAGGTTGGCAAAGTTAAAAGCTCAGTTCTTGTTAAAAATTGTTTAAAATTTCTTGTTCAATGTTTAATTCTAGTTTTAGGTGGCTAATTTTAACTCTGATTCTTTTTTGACTGCTAAGAGAAAGCTATCAAATCACTATGAAATTGCTTAAAATGTGTCAGTATTGTCTGTTTTCTCATGTTAAAATTTTTTTATATACGAGGTTTGTTTTACTCTGCTGCAGTGAATTCCCATTGCCATTCATCATGACATTTGCAATGTACCTCCTTCCAGTGTCTTCCTTTACTGACTGTGTTTTTAATACTAGCTTTGGAACTTGATTCTGCGTCAGTAGTTTGTCTTTATTTTAAACTTACAAATTTTGTCTGCACTATTTTAAAAACAAAAATAATTATGTTAAAATCAATATTTCAGTATGATTTAAATCAAAGTATCACTAATTTTTGCTGTCTGCACGAAGTAGCTCTTAAAAAACAAAGTTATATCGGTGTATAGAAAAAATTACTGGAGCTGAATCAATATGGTGACTGGATTGTTCATGTGTCTTTGTAATACCAGGAGCTACATGCATGCCAACATTCGCACTATAGTACAATGATGACTGTTTTACGTGGTGAGACGGTTAAAGTGAAATGTAGTTTCACCAAAACAATGAAATTGTATTTAATGGGAAAATATTTTATAATTTGTCATCAGTATTTAAATTTAGTTAATTAAAATAGAATATCAAATTCAGTTCATCAGTTGCACTAAGCCACATTTTAAATTTTTAATAGCCTCATGTGGCTAGCGGCTACTATAGTGGACATCAGAAGTCCTAATGTCATTGTCTCAACTTCGGCAGAAATTGACAATGAAGGTGTGATTGAACCAGAAACTGATGCCCCTCAAGAAATGGGAGATGAAAGTGTAGAGGTAAGTTCAATGACGTGTTCCGCTTATTACGAGGAATGTGAAAGTCCCACCTTTTGCAGTAATTTTATGACATGACTCTTTGAGAAAAAGCGCCTATTAAGTTTTTCTCTAACCCTGGGCGTATAGGAAAGGATTTTATTTTACTACTTAAAATGTTTGTAAAGATTCCCATGACAATTTCTGAAAATTGTCAATCTGACAGTGTCTGAAATCCTTGTTATTTTCTGTTTTATCTTCTCTTTCAACTTGTATCTGGTTTCACTGCTCTTTAGACTACAAAGTAGAGTTCAACTGAAGAATATACCTATGTATGGAACTACCTGTTAATAGGATATCTACTGCCAGGTTGTTTTCCAAAATGGTTTTTTCATAACAGGGATGATACAGCCTTCAAGGTGGCGAAAATTGGTTCTTTGCCAGGGAAAGGGTAAAAAAAATCTTAGATACTATAATGGTTAGTGGTCCTCCAAAGGATCAAAACACATCAATATGTATGTAGTGTATCTGTGGAGCCCTGGTGGCACAGTGGTTAAGTGCTTGCTTGGCTGCTAACCAAAAGGTAGGCAGTTCGAATCGGCTCCTTGGAAACCCTTCAGGGAAGTTCTGCTCTATCCTGTAGGATGCTTATGGGTTGGAATCAACTTGACGGCAACAGGTTTAGTGTATCTGTGGTATTAAAATTTGAGGTGGGTGGAAATTGGGGAAAAATATCTAAAGACTCCTTAGGGGGATTGATAATGGGGGGTGGGGGGGTGGGGGAAGACTGAGAGATGCCGTAGCAGTTTAAAAGTGGCTAGGTCTGTATTTTCACCAACACTTGATATGTCAGGTTTTATTTTTACCCATCTTACTGTGAAAAATGGTTCGTTTTTGTGGTTTTTAATTTGCATTTTCCTGATTTCTAGTAAGATCGAGCATATTTTAATGTTTATTGGTCATTCACAGGTATTTGGGAAATGCTGATTTTTTACCCATTTTTCTACTGCGTTTTTTTCTTGTTGCTTTATAGTTCATTTTATATTCAGGATACTAACAATTTGTTGTCTGTATATGCTCCACATATTTTTACTGGTTTGTCGCTTGTTCTTTTTACTTTATATTGTCTCGATAAATTCTTTTAATATCATTAAATTGATCTTTCGTATTTTATGCTTGACTATTTAAGGTTATAATTGCTACAATAGTCTTTTCCTTCTGAAAATTTTACAGTTTTCCCTTTCACCTTTAATCTACCTGCCAGCACAATTACTGAAGCATTCCTTTCCCACCAATCTGCAGCGCCAAAATACACCATTTCCATGTATGTGTGGGTCTGTTTTGAGGCTTTCTTTCCTACTTGTCTGATTTTTTTCCCCCGTACTAATGCTACATCATCTCATGTAGCTTGTCTTAGTTATCTAGTGCTGCTGTAACAGAAATACCGCAAGTAGGTGGCTTTAACACAAATTTATTCTTTCACAGTTTAGTAGGCAAGAAGTTTGAATTCAGGGTGCCAGCTCCAGGAGAAAGCTTTCTTTTCTCCATTGGCTCTGGGGAAGGTCCTTGTCATCAATCTTCCTCTTGTCTTGGAGCTTCTCAGCAGTGACCTCAAATCCAAAGGATGCGTGCACTCCTGGTTCTTCTTGCTTGGGGGTATTAAGGTCCCCTGTCTCTTTGCTGGTTTCCTTCTTTTATATCTCAAAAGAGATTAACTTAAAACACAAACCTAATCTTGTAGATTGAATCCTGCCTCAGTAACATAACTGCAGCTAATCCCACTTCACTAACATCATAGAGGTAGAATCAGATCACAGAATGGTGGGCAGTCACACAATACTGGGAATTGTGGCGTACCCAAGTTGACAGACATTTTTGAGGGACACACTTCAATCCACAACATACCGTTGTACTAATTCTTGCTATCTGGTGTGTGAAGGACTCCCAACACTTCAGGAGTATCTTGGCTGTTCTTGGCTCCTTTGTTCTTCCGTATAAATAATTTTAGAATTAGATTGTCAGTTTCCCATCTTAGGAAAAACAAAATGCATTTTTCCCATTGTAATTGCACTGCATCTAAACCAATTCAGGGAGAAGATACATTGCTTCATTATTGAGATTAACTGTCAATAAATGTGGTGTCTGAGTTTTAGATCTTTTTAAGTGTTTTTCCGTAGCTTATTAACATTTTCTCCATAGTGGTCTTGTGCATCTTTGTTAAGAACAAATACAAGTACTTTTTGTCATTGTAAAAAATAGATCTTTAAAAATTTTATGTTCTGTTTCCTGATGGTGCTGTTTCACTTCGTTGTGTCTAGGTTTGTATTTATCCTACTTGGGAGTCATCAAGTATCTTAAATTTGAGACTTGTTAACTTCTATAGCTCTGGAACATTTTCAACAATTGCCTCTTTCAAACATTGCCGCCTCTTCTTTCTCATTCTGGAGCCTCGGTTAGTTAATTAAAATAGTGTTAGACTTGCTGATTTTAAAATTCCATCTCTTGGCTGAACTGTGAATGCTTTCTATGTCTAGTCTGCTGTTCCACTGAAGTGTGAACTTGTGTGTTTTTCATTTTGAAAAATTTACTTTGGTTTTTAAAATGTACTTATAAGTCTTCCACTCTTTACCCATTTTCAAAACTAGCTTTTATTCTTTTAAACACATTAAATTTTTTGTTGAACTCTTTTGCTGGTTTTATTCTGTCTGTTGTTTTTCATTGGTCTTGTTCATTGAGGTACTTTGTGAATTGTGACTCGTGTGTGTGTGTGTGTTTGAAAGATAGGAAGAAATTTTGACTGTGAATTCTTTGGAACTTTACCTGTTGAGCAGTTTTTGAGGCCTGAGTAGAAGTTGTGTTCCTCCAAAAGGGGTTTATTTTCTTCCATCAGGAGTCTGAGTTGTCACTACCAGCTCAAGACCACTTTAAATTCTTAGCATGCTGTTTTATTACACAGGAAATATGAGTTCCACATGAAAAACTGGTGGTGATTAGGAATTTGGGGGGGCATTTTTTTCTCCTCCTCATTTGACTATCCTTTATGTGGGACAGGTTTATTTTTGGTTTACTATTATCCTTGCAGGTGTAGGCATTTGAAGTTTCATATTTATTTGAGGGATGTCTGGTAGGACCCAGTTACCTTTTCTTCAGCTCAATCTGTCTCTCCTGTGACTTGGCACCACCTTCAAAAACAAGGTCACCAGGGTTTGATACCTGCTGCAAGGGTAAAAGCTACCTCTTTGGATTTCAGCCTTTATTTAATCTTGGTCTTTGAGGTTTTTTTATTTCCTTGCTGGGTCAAAGATGGATTTTTAAAGGTTGTTTTTAGTCTTGTTCGAGATTTCACATGCACCATATTATAAACAGAAATCCTCCTTTTTTTTCTTTTTAATTACCTTAGCTTTGTAGGATGTCTTGTTACCAGGTAAAGTGTTATCTTTCTTGGTTATTTTTAAAAGTTTATCAAAAACTTTTGTCAGGAATATTTGTTGGGATTGCTCTGAATTTATTGAGTAGCTTGGGGATAGATTGAAGTACTGTCCTTTCTATGAATATTGTGTGTATCTCCATATTTTTTCATTTTCTTTTGTGTTCCTTAATAGAATTTTACTTTTTTCCCCTTACGAAAGTTTTGTGTGATCTTAGAAACTGAACTTCATAGATTCATTTTCTAATGTGAATGGTATCTTATTCTAGTATATATTATAAATGATTTTTGTTAATGTGAAGGCACTTCGGTTTTTTTTGTTTTTTTTTTTAAATCTTGCCCTTAGAGTATCTGTCAGTTGCATTGGATTGTCTAGGTAGATATAAATACAGTTGGCAGCTTTTTTCCCCATTCTTAACCCTATCAAATAATTTTCTTAATGAATTTGTAATATTTTGAACAATAGCGGTGATGGGGTAGATATTTTTTCCCCCCAATATTAAAGAAACTTTCCATTCCAGAATTCTCGACTTTCCATCTTTGGTAGGATGTTTGCTCTAATGTTTTATTCTTACTAATGTTTATACTTTCAGCATCTTGTACAGTGTTCCGTCTATTATAGGTGCTTAATAGATGTTTGCAGGAACAAAGAAATGAGACCTTTCTCTTCTAAGGATTCGAGTCTAAGAAGAACTAGCTTAACCTGTTAGTGAAGAGATTGAGTTTTTGTATTTGTGGGTAGCTAGGAAGGAGCTTCCCTGTGGCGTAGTGGTTAAGAAACTTGACTGCTAATCAAAACGTCGGCAGTTCAAATCCACCAGCTGTTCCTTGGAAACCCTATGGGGTAGTTCTGCTTTGTCTTACAGGGTCTCTGTGAGTTGTAAGTGACTCGACGGCAGCTAACAATAGCAACAGGAAGGAGGTTGTAAGACTAGGGCAGACCAACCTGCTTTGATTGGAATGGAGGGAAAGCAAAGGTCACGTCTAGAGCAGAGTGTAGGGTGTGAGATTTGTTGTTTAATATAAAAGGTTAAAGTTCATTATGGGTAATTTCTTATTAATCAGTTATTATTCTCTTTGCTTCCTGGAGACTAGAGAAAAATGAATGAAAATGGGAATTGTGACAACTCCATCCTCAAGAAAGTCCAAATTGCTTCCTTCTCTTAGCTATCTCTTCTAAATTGACCTTCAATTTCTCTCTAGATAACTGAAGAGATGATGGATCAGGCAAATGATAAGAAAGTGGCTGCCATTGATGCCCTAAATGATGGTGAGTAAGCTTTTTCTCTTTGCTACATTTCTGTTGTAGTCTAACATTCTCATTTCTGCTACAGTAACAATTAAAATGGCGGAAGAGTGGAAGATAACTTGTTTTTATTGAGTATTATCATATGCTGTACCTGCCTCTTCCCCATTGATAAAGAGGCTGAAACTTGGGTAGGAATTACCTTGCCTCAGGTCATGGACAGTTTACTGTTGTTGTGTGCCATTGAGTTGATTCTGACTCAGAGCACCCCATGTGACAGAGTAGAACTGCCCCATATCGTTTCTTAGCAGATTACCAGGTCTTCTCTCCCACAGAGCAGCTGATGGGTTCAAACTGCCAACCTTCTGGTTGGCAGCTGAGCAGTTAACTGTTGTGCCACCAGGCTCCTTAGTATAACATTTAGTCAATTGTAATTTATAAAAACAAACAATTTTTAAATTTGAGTATTATGGCCAGTATCAGTAACATATGCAAACCCCTTCTGTAAAATTTTAGTGGTAGTAGTAGTGTCAGAACCTGTCTAACTTCAGATGATTTAGTGGCCAGGATCAGCCCAAGGCTGAGCCCTGTAATATGGAGTCAGACATAATCTCCACTCACGAACCTTTTTTACCCATTGTGACACCAGCCGCCCCTCACTTGGCACTCTCTACTTCTCTCCTGGGTTCGATAATTGGTTGCAACGGCCACATAGAACTCTCAGACCATACTTACAGTTAAGTAGTTTTTTAAGGAACAGGGTGTACAACTGAGGATCAGGAGTAACAGGCTACACCTCAGGATCAGGAAACATGTAGGGAAAGTCTCCCTTCAATGCAGGACAGCTCTCAGCTCCTTTTGGTTGTGCAGCCCTCCTCAGGGCAGGCTTCTCTTGGCCCTGCCGTCTGTCACGTCTGGCTGTGCCAGTGGGCCCCTTCCAGGCCTGTTGTTGCTGGCTCTGCTGCTGGGCCCCTTTGGAGCCTCTCGCTGTCTTCAGTGTTACAGCTCTTGACCAATGTTGTAGCTCTTTTCAGAGGTTCCTTGCCTTCTGTCTCTCTGCTTTCTTCCTCCTGCTTCCCTTCTTGTTTCTTTCTGTCTGCCTAACCTCGGGCTGGCTGCGTACGTGTAAGAATAAAACATACGTTTTGTTCTTACTGGAAATAGACACTTACCGGATATGGATTTGCCTTTCCTGCACGCACTGCTTCTGCCAAAACTACTATGCATGGACTTAGAGGATGCTTTATCCACCGTCCTGGTATCCCATACAACATCACCTCGAATCAAGGGACTCAATGGCAAATGAAGTACAGCAATGGACCCGTGCTGATGGAATTCACTGGTCTTACCATGTTCCCTATCATCCTGAAGTAGCTGGCTCGATAGAATGATGGAACGGGCTTCTAAAGACACGATTATGGTGCCAGCTAGGTGACAATACCTTGCAGGGCTGGGGCACTGTTATCCAGGAGGCTGTATATGCTCTAAACCAGCATCCAGTATATGGTGCTATTTCTCCCTTAGTCAGGATTTATGGGTCCAGGAATCAAGGAGTGGAAATGGGAGTGGCACCACTCCCTATTACCCCTAGTGACCCACTCACAAGATTTTTGTTTCCTTTGCCTGCAACCTTACGCTCTGTGGGTTTAGAGGTCTTACTTCCAAAGGGAGGAATGTTCCCACCCAGAGACATCACTGATTTCATTGAACTGAAAGCTAAGAATGCCACCTGGCCACGGCTTGCTGGGGTTCAAAGGATGAGGCCATGGCTTCCTAGGTTTCAAGGAGTTGGATCTTCACCAGCTTGGTTCCAGATTATGGGGCTGCTGTTGCTGAGGAAATGGAGCCACCAAAGCAGAGGAGGTAGGGCTGCCATGCCCAAGAGACAGGAGTGGAGCCTACCAGGGCCAAGAGGGTAGGGTCTACACTTATATGGACTGGGAGTATGGGGCCACCCAAAGCCAAGGGAACAGAGTTGCCATCCCAGCGGGCCTGGAAGGCAGAGCTGAAGCCCAGGACTGAGGTGTCTCTACCCAGAATTGAGATAGCGTGGATGATACCCAGAGTCTGGAGGGTAGGGCTATTCCCCAGATGGTCTAGCTAATGTAATTTGTTCCGTTGGGTTTTGGAGTTGTTTGGTGCCTGTTATCCCTTCTTTCCATTTGTATTGGAAATGTCTACCTTGTGCCTGTTCTACTATTGTACTGTGGAAGCCAGATAATTTGCATTCTAGATTTCGTAGGTTCAGAGGTGAGGAATTTTGCACAAGATGAGAATGTGGACTTGGGGTCAGTTTAAGACTTGGAATGATATGATGGGGGTTTATGTATTTTACATGTGGCAAGGACATGAATTTTTGGGGTCAGAGGGTGGAATGTTAGGGATTAAACTGAGCCTCCCCAAAATAGTGTCAATTTGCCTAGGCCATGATTCCCAGTATTTTGTGGTTGTCTTCCATTTTGTGATCTGATGTCATTATCCTCCGTTTTGTAATGTGTTGTAAATCCTAGTCTCTGTGCCTGTGGTTATGGTCCCATTTGGGAGTGAGTTGTTTGTTACGTTAATGAGGCAAGATTGCACCATCTCCATTGTTAACAGCTTTCTGTGTGTCTCCTGGTTGTAGGAGGTTCTCAGTGCAGGGACCCCGGGTGTAAAGGATGCACTCCGCTCCCGTCTCTTCTCTGTGGTATTGAGGTCACTATCTTTGCTTTTTTCTTTCTCTTTTTATCTCTTGTAAGATAAAAGGTGTGACTCAAGGGTGTGATTTGAATAAGGGTGGTAAGGGTGGTGACTCGAGTCACACTCTCTATTAAGGCAGTGACTGAAGTTACATCAGCCCTAATATACCATGGACTGCCAGAACTAACGAATCTGTTTTGGAAGAAGTACAACTAGAATGCTCTTTAGAAGCGAGGATGGCGAGACTTCATCTCAGGTACTTTGGATGTGTTATCAGGAGGGATCAGTCCCTGGAGAAGGACATCATGCTCGGTAAAGCAAACGGTCAGCAGAAAAGAGGAAGACCGTCAAGGAGATGAATTGACACAGTGGCTGCAACAATGGGCTCAAGTATAAGAATTATGGTGAGGATGGTGCAGGACTGGGCAGTGTTTCCTTCTGTTGTACATCGGGTTGCTATGAGTTGGAACCAACTTAATGGCACCTAACGACAACAGAAACAACCCTGCCTCATTAACATAGTGAACATCTCGCTCCCAAATGGGACCATAACCACAGGCAGAGAGGCTAGGATTAACGACAGTCACAAAATGGAGCATAATTACATCAGATCACAAAATGGAGGATGACCGTACATACTGAGAATTATGGCTTAGCCAAGTTGACACACATTTTTCGGGGACACAGTTTAATCCATAACAAGGGTCATTTAATACATGCTAACTATTAAAAAGTTCAGATCTGCGGAATGTGAAAGAGTCCTCCTTTATCCTATTTTTCTCCCTGACTGTCACTGTTCTGGGACTCAGGGCCCAGGCACATGTATCCTTATTTAGTTGGGAAGATAGGGATGGCAAGTAAATTGGACAGTGGGGTAGGAATAAAAGTTCAGTTTTGAACATGGTAGGTCCTAGTTGCTTATTAGACATGCTCGTGTAATAATTTGTAATACCGTATTTTTGCAAATAACGTACCCATGTAAATAATGCGCCCTTAGGTATAATGGGCATAGAAAAATACGCACGAGAAGGTTGCACAGTTGGCAGAAATCATATAATGGGTGTGTTATTTTGATATGGCTTACATCTGTAGCAGTAACTATGAATTCTGTTAAAGGCCTTTACTCATTCACTAATTTGGTAAATAGGCTTTTCACAGTGACTTGTGACATTTATTTTAAAAGTTCTGTGTTTGTCTTGTCTCCCCAAGTTTCTGTGACCAAGAGTTGTTCTGGACTTAGTGCAAAGAAACATTTCCATAGTATGTTTTATTTGTTGAATGACTTCATTTTAGGGACTATTATGCAAAAAAGCTGATTATGAGACTGGGATATGATGAATGAATTCTAGTTTTCTTCACATTTTCTGCCCTTAGTGTGACTTCAGATAGGAAATTGTTTCTAAAAAAAAATAAGCTATGTGAATTTAGTGGATACTTTTCCTTTCATAAGTTTAATTTTATCCTTTTAATTTGATGATTAAAAGAAAATTAATGTAATAAAATTAATTCATTTTGCTCTTTAAACTGATTTTATCCTTTTACTTATTTCTTAATTTAAAAAAATCAGCAATCCTACTAAGAATATGGTATTCTATTGTATTTAGAGGGTTATATACCAAAAAATTATCTGTCTTCGATAATTTACAATGTAAGTAAAGATGGCTTTGAAGAGCCAGTTTTGCATATTTAGACGCTAGTCTTTTTTTTTATTAGGCTAAAAGAAAAATGTAAAAGACCAATAGGATTTTTTATTAATATTTTATTCTCTGAATATTTCTGAGTAACTTTTTTTTACTTCAGGTGAGCTACAGAAAGCTATCGAGTTGTTCACAGATGCCATCAAACTGAATCCTCGCTTGGCCATTCTGTATGCCAAGAGAGCCAGGTGAGAACTCTCAACCAAAAAGCATCCTCTGGAGAATAATATTAGCTCAGTTGTTTAATTAGAATTACTTCTGTGGAGATCCCAAAGGTTTTACTGTTTGAAATGAATACCTTTTAATATCACACTTATTTTTTAGTGTCTTCATCAAATTACAGAAGCCAAATGCTGCCATCCGAGATTGTGACAGAGCCATTGAAATTAATCCTGATTCGGCTCAGCCTTACAAGTGGCGAGGGAAAGCACACAGGTAAATAACGGAATTTAGTTATTTTTAGAACTCTTTCAAATTTAAATTTGATGTTTTATTATGCTTTGTTTTAATAAAATTGCCTGAGGGTTTAATTTCAAAGTAATTTGTGCTCCGTATAAAGAATTTAGAGAACATAATAGGAAACAAATAAGAAATTAAAAATTATTTTCATTCCTTCTATTCAAAAAAACCGCTGTTAACATTTTTCAACCATGTAGAGCCAAGTATAAAGTAAGGATTTTTCCCAAAATTACCTCTAGGAAGAGTGATACAAGTGTCTGTACAAATTTTCTCTTATTTTCAGACTTTTTTTTTTTAACTTAATATTGAACAACCAATGCATTAATTAAGGAAGGAATACAGTAGCCTGAAACTACTTTAGTGACTGCTAGGTCACCTGAAAAATCAAAGGGAAAAATTAAGATCCAAATATAACCCAGATTAGTAATTATTCTGGGGTGAGACTTAATGTTATACAAATGAGTACTTGTGGCTTGGGGATGGATTGTCCAGTGACAGCATGTTACATGAATTGAAAAGGTGCTTTACCTCAAGCATGGATGGAAATAAAGATGGATATTCTTGAAATAACTGTTATATTACTCAAAACAGCTCTTGTGATTATGAAGACACATGTCAAAGATACAAAGTTAGAATAAAATAATGAAGCATGGGTATAGAAAAAGTTTACACACGTTGCTGTTGATCCTTTTAAAACCCCTTTAATCTTTGCACATTTCTTGGTTTTCTGGTACAAGATAGCACAAGCTCATCTTGTAGTTTGCTTGCCCTGACTTGGAGTCAGTCATTTCTCTAAGAAACTATGGTTCATTTTAGTGGGGATGGTATTTAGAAACCAAAATTTGGGCACCAGATGTGTTTATTGCTTCTGGGATGTTATTCTGTTGTTTTAGTTGAGAGATGAAGAAAATATTTTTAATCGTGATTTAAAAAAAAAAAACACAAAAAAAACTCATGAAATGATGAGTTTATACTATATTTCCAATTAAAGTTTAATATTAAATGTTTTCCTTTTGACACTTTTGTCCCACCATGAAGATCTGTCTTGTTAATATGTTTACTTGGGTTATCCTAGTTTAAAAAAAAAAAAACAGACCCACTGCCATCGAGTTGATTCCGACTTATAGCGACCCTGTAGGACAGAGTAGAACTGCCCCATATGGTTTCCAAGGAGTAGCTGGTGGATTCGAACTGCCAGCTTTTTGGTTGGCAGCCAAGCTCTTAACCACTGCACCACCAGGGCTTCTTGTGTTATCCTATAGTATACATAAAATCATTTTAGAATCATAATACCGTGAAAAACAGTTTCGGTAAGTAAAGTAAGTGTCTTTGTTTTGCACCTTTTATCCTTAGAATATATCTCGCTTAAGATGTACATGGTTAGAGTTCTGTTTTTTCCCGTTTGTTATTAGTGTGATATACAACTAGCCTGTTTTATTTCTGATTGTATTCAGGTTTAGGGTTTGCTTTTTTCCCCATTCTTTCTGATTTAATTTTATTTTCTGAGTATGTGAAACACATATTTAAAGAGTTAAAACTGAGGAAAGAAATATACACAGACGAATCTCATTTCCATTGCTATGCTCCTCTATCCCATTCTTACCTACCCCCACCAACCTTTAGTTTCAGATTTAGCCTTTGCTGCTTTTTTCAACAAAGGTGTCATACATGTGTATTGTTTCACCTTCTGTCTTATATAGAAGGTAGTATGCTAAGTATCCATTATGTTAATCCTGCTTTTGGTGAGGTGAAAATTGATGACCCAAATACTTTTCTTAAATTTAATGATACAGTGAAGCCTGTGAGAGCTGGAATTCGATGGGACTGCCTTGTTTTTCTGTGTCTTGCAAGTTTTCTGCCTTTGACAGGGTGCAGTCTTCTTTTGTGTTACTCTCTATTAGTGGAAATACTTGAGTTTTCCTTCTCTGACAGTTTTCCACCTTACAAAGGTTCCTGTTTCACAGGCTGTACTGTATTCTGAATTTAAAAAAGCGTTTTTGTCTTTAATTCAATTTTTAAGCATTTGTTTTAGTAGAACAGCAGCTTTACTTTTACCATAGGGGAAATTTAAACCCCTTCAAATTTTTGCAGAGTAACCAACATAGTAATTGAATTGGTTTATGAAAATCTGTAGTTGGAAATTTAACTTAAACCCCTTCTATAATAATCCTTTTGTATAGTAAGGAAGAAAAACACCATGTCACTTAGGTCAGTATGTATACAAAGCTCCTAAAATGAGTTTAAATCTGTTTCAGACTTCTGGGCCATTGGGAAGAAGCAGCACATGATCTTGCCCTTGCTTGTAAACTGGACTACGATGAAGATGCTAGCGCCATGCTGAAAGAAGTTCAACCGAGGGTATGTTAGGAAAGGGAATGTCACTACAGTAGTATTTCTAGTACTTAGCCCGTCGCAAACCAGGTACCTCTAAAACAGAAGAAAAGAAACGAACATTTGGAAGTGACATAGTCTGTAATCACTGAAGCTTTGTGCTCAACTCAGGAAATCTCAGGCTTTTATATTTTCATTTCGCATGCTATTTTATAGCATGCTCTATTATTTTGTAAACCTACAGTGGACTTATAACTAGAAAATTAGATGTGGAAAAGGGGGCATCTGGCTTACAGCAAGGAAAGAAATAGAAAATCTATAAAATACAATCCAGGAATGAGTCTGGTCTGTCCATATATATTAAAGGCATGTACAGCCACTGTATAAAGCACGAGGGCCCTGTGGGAAGTTAGTAAGTTTCAACCTTTTTTCTAAGTGATAATATTGAATCCAGAAACTAGAGTAGTCTGTTTTAAGATGATTTCTATCTAAAATTGTTAATTAAAACAATAGGAATCCATAGTTAAAACAATTTTGATCCACTTAAATGGTAAATTCTTCAACTTTGTGGGGAGTTAATTGAGAATTTATTCCCAGAAGATTAAAGATAATGGAAGTTCTATTGAACTTATCTACCACCAGAGACTTCATTCGATTTTTCTTCTCATAAACAGGACTAAATCAGCAAGACTGCTGTGAGATATTTTATTCTAGAACATGAGGTTCTTAAAAAAATAATCATGAAGAAAGTGAAGTAATGGTTAAATATGAATCTCTTAACCTTCATTTTATTCTCTGAATAAATAATAGTTGACAAGTATCTGCTACTGACTGTGGTACTAGTGCCTGGTATTGCATGGTGAAATACATTTTCTCTTAATCCCTGTAGCAGTTCTATGAGATTGGCTTCTACTCTCCTCACTCTGTGTATGGATAAGGAAGCATAAGCATAGTTAGACTGTGGCAAATAGCTGATGTATGTGTTCCCAGTGTCTGCTTTCCCATGGCAGACATTGATGGTACAGTTTCCTGCTAAACTTAGCTATAACTTCTGAATCTTTTACACTGTGCAGCTAATAGAAGCTATCAGGCAAGAACTGTCGTGCAATTTGAAAATTATTTGTCATCCTTGAGCTAGTTAATTGTTTGAGATTATAACAGTTCTAATTTCAAATCCCAGATTCTTTACTCTTTCGCAGTGCCTCATGCAATTGAGATTGGTTTTATTAAAGCCTGAGTGATGTATAGTCTTTCTCTATGAGATAAATCTGTCGTTATTCAGAAATGTGTATTGAGTTAAACACCTCTCCACAAAGAATAGTATCTCTTAACAAAACTGTTGATTTACATTGACCTTCTTCAACTTTTGGGAGAGACTTATTTTTCTATCACTTTTTCTCCCCCTAGGCCCAGAAAATTGCAGAACATCGGAGAAAGTATGAGCGAAAACGTGAAGAGAGAGAGGTGAAAGAAAGAATAGAAAGGGTGAAGAAGGCTCGAGAAGAACATGAAAGAGCCCAGAGGGTAAAGTTTCTGTTGTTAAGCCATGAAGGGAAAATACAGTAGATCAAGCGGTTTTGGGATACCATTCTAATTCCTGGCTCCTTTACTTAATGCTGGCTGCAGTTCTATAGGATAATAGTAACAGTGTCGTCAAGTCAATTCTGACTCATAGCCATCCTATAGGACAGAGTAGAACTGCCCCATAGGGTTTCCAAGGCTGTAATCTTTACGGAAGCAGACTGCCACATGTTTCTTCCGTGGAGCCCCTAGTGGGTTTGAACCACTGACTTTTCTTTTGGTTGGCTGCTGAGGGATTAACCACTGCACTGTTGGGGCTCCTTCCTATAGGATACTACTACCATTTAAAGGGGTAGTCTTTCTTTACTTCATTATCTCTAATTTGTGGGGATATTTTTAGTCTTTAAATTCTTAAGTGAGCTTGGGTTTCACCAACTTAAAACTCTTTTCAGAGCACTCTGTTTTGTGCCCTTGTAATACCACGAATTTTTGATAGTCAAGTAATTAAAACTCAGCAGTACTGTTATTTATTTTCTTGAGGGTGCTTGTCCTGATTTGTTAAGTTTTATGATTCCTGCTGTTCTAACTATGGATTCCTAGCGATTTAAAATTGCTTCTCGTTTTATTTGTAGTTTACAAAGTCATAGAAAATGTAGAAAAATCATAATTCCTCTGCAATGTTTCTGCTGCCATTCTTAAAATTTCTTCTAGTTTAATTCTGTGTTTTCTGTGTTGCTGTTTTAATTTCCACCTACTTACTTCCAACATTTATTGAAGGCCCTGAAACTGTATTATAATTACATAACATTAAGTCCTAATATTTTTATCATTTCATATTATTAAGTATGATTTATTTTTAGGATTACAGTTTCGAATCTTTATAAGTAATGTTTACATAGTTTAACTTTTATCTAGTTCCTTGATGATGTTATATAACTGAGTATGAAGGACATTATTGAGAGATACATTATATTTCTCAAATTTATATATCTTCCATTTTCTCTTTTAATAAAATAATTAAAAAAAAACAGCAGAAACAAATCAGTAAATCTCCACTCATGTTTGTTGTTGAGTTATATAGAGATGATAAAGAAGAGATGAACTTGGGAAACAAAAGGCCCCATATTAGTAATCTAGCCGTGTGCTTTCATTTTGAAGTTTAAAAAAAAAAACAGTAAGAATTTACAATTTCCTGAGTGGCAGCATATTAGTACTGTCAGTTGTTTTTCGGAGTTTTTTTCCCTAGAGTAGAAGGAAACATACTTTGCTAAAAATCATTACCAAGAATATGGTTATTGAGAATGCAGTTACGAAGTTTTTTTGTTTTGTTTTTTTCAAGGGAGGTGTGGGGTGTGTCCTGGAGTCAAGTATTGCCGTTTGAAATTTGTCATTCTCATAAGTCCTCTAGCTTATGCTATACTTTTTTTTTTTTTAATGGTTTTGTATGGGCAGGGTTGGAATGACAACAGACTTACTAGTTCTCTTATTATATATTTCCTTTTTAAATTTAAGGAGGAAGAAGCCAGACGACAATCAGGAGCTCAGTATGGCTCTTTTCCAGGTATGCATAAAGAAAAATTAAGCCTGTTAGTACTGTAAATATTTGGTATTTTTTTAATTATGCGGTTCAGATATATGTATTGCATTTAGTTCCATTTGTCTCTGGAACACCGAAGAGTCTTTAGAATGTTAACCTTCTAGAAAGTTTATTCCCTTTAAAAATTCTGTTGGTGAAAATATATTTTCTTCTCACAATTTGAGTAGTATATATTTTTTTAATAGTTACCATTTTTTGAGGCCTGAGCATTGTATGTTGTTAAAAGACTGTAACCTAAGTATCTCTAAATTGCAGTAGTGGAATTTTGTTCTGTACGTCGATATTCATGAGGACCCTAAGGTAAAAGCATTGTATGGAATTACTAAGCATAAAAGAATGTTGTGAGCCCAGTGTGGAAATAATACACACTCTTCCCTTTCCTGTTAATGTCCGTGATCAGAAATTTCTAGCGAGGCAAAAGCAGTGTTCTTGACAGATAACTAGAGGCCTAAGATAAAGATAGAAAAAAACACACTTGGAAAATAATTATTGAATACTTTGAATAAAGCAGTGTGAAATTTATATAAAGACCAGGAAGAGATGTGTCATGGATTGAATAACGTTCCCCAAAAAATGTGTGTATCAATTTGGCCGGGCCATGATTCCTGGTATTCTGTGGTTTTCCTATAAATTGTAAATCCTGCCTCTATGACGTTAATGAGGGAGGATGGGTGGCAGTTGTGTTAGTAAGGCAGGACCTGATCTACAAGACTGGATTGTGTCCTGAGGCAGTCTCTTGAGATATAAAAGACAGAAGTGAGCAGTGAGACAGGGGGACTTTATACCATCAAGAAAGCAGTGCCAGGAGCAGAGCGCGTCCTTTGGACTGGGGTCCCTGCACCGAGAAGCTCCTAGTCTGGGGGAACACTGATGAGAAGGCCGAGAGACAGAAAGCCTTCCCCTGGAGCTGACACCTTGAATTTGGACTTTTAGCCTACTTTGACTATGAGGAAATAAACTTCTCTTCGTTGAAACCATCCACTTGTGGTATTTCTGTTATAGCAGCACTGGATGACTTAAGACAAGATGAAAGAAAAAAGTTTATGATTCTAATGGGGAATCAGCTGCCTCTAGCTCTTTAATTGTATCTAGCTTTTTCTTAAGGTTTATAGAGGCAGCTACACATCACGTATACATGTATGTCTCTGGCTAGAACTTACAGAGGCTAGAAAATGTAGCTTTTACTGTGAAAGGTTAGGTGCCCAGCAGCTGAAATTCTAGTTTGGTGGAAAAAGGGAAGAACAAATGTTAGAGATGACTTGCCGTATGAAGATGAAGGGGAAAAAATTTTTTTTTAAGCTCACAGCTTGCTTCGTGTTCAAAATACAATTTTCTTGTCAAATACCTTTGTTTTAGAAAATGACCACTAATGTGGTTAGAGAGAGTTTTTTGTTAGGTAGATTTTTATTATCTAAATTTAACAAGCAGATTGTCTTCAGTATTGTTGCTGTGGGCCAGTATTTTGTGGGTAGAAACTTGTTTTTCAAAGCTTCAGAGTTAGCAGGGCCAGAAGAATAGCTAGAAGTTGTTTTCAGGCCCCTTGAGATTTCCTTAGATTTCTGTGATTGTCAACTATTTATGGCTGTGTTTTAATTATTGTCGAGCCAGGTGAAAATGACTTTGTTATATGTGTTTCTTCTATATGGCTTTACTTTCAGTGACCCTTGATCTGTAGAACACATTGGATTTCTAGGTGTCTCCGATGGACACATAGGTTTATGGTAGTGAAGAAGCTAACAATATGCTTAATGAATGCAACCTTTTTCCCCCACAGGGCATTGTTCTAAGTGTAAAGAAGAATTACCAGGAGTGCTTAATAAAAACTCAGATTTCCAGTTTCTCTTTCAGAGATTTTGTTCCTGTCTGGGGAAGAGATCAGAAATCCACAGTTTTTTGAGACAAGTAGTTCTTTAAGGAATAACTGCTCTAGAGCAGTACAGATTTAAAAAATAACAGTAAACTAAATTCTATTATTAGTTACCTTTAAATTGATACAGACAAATAATATTAAAGAATTAAAACAGACAAGATGACCAAGTTATAATGCGTTTGATTTTTTAATTTTACAGTCTAAGGGACTATTAGTTGGTTTTCTCTTTGTTTCTAAGGTAAAATTAGTTTCTTTTTCAGCAGTTTGATTAGTAGAAAGAAATTAATCGTAGAAGGCAGCAAAGTCTGATTTACAGCCTTATTTTTAAGAGAAAATTAAAAGTTACAACTCATGCCTTTTTATATCTAGTTAGAATGTTCAGACTTCTTAGAATTTAGTAGCATCCTTATTTTCTTGTGCACCCGTTTGTGTGTAGTATTTTTAATTGGAAGGGGCTGGTATATCAGATTACATGTGAATTCAGTGGGTATTTATACAATTCTTTCATTTATTCTTGCAGGTGGCTTTCCTGGGGGAATGCCTGGTAATTTTCCTGGAGGAATACCCGGAATGGCAGGGGGCATGCCTGGAATGGCAGGAATGCCTGGGCTTAATGAGATTCTTAGTGATCCAGAGGTTCTTGCAGCCATGCAGGTAAGACTTGGAAGAATAAAGTTGGATTTGATATTATTAAGATGTTTCTTTCACAGTTCTGTGTGGAGACAAAGGTTACTCTTACCCATTTTTTACGTTTCTGAATTAACCAAATAATTGTATTTATCGTTTTTTCCAGAGTGAGTAGCTTAAGCTTTTAAAAATTGGTTTATAAGAAGTACTCAGTAACTGTTGGCCACCGTCATAGCCAATGTCCTTTTCTTTATATCAGAATTCTACATGTTTTTTTTTGATTATCTAGTTCAAGTGACTTAATTGAGCTTGGCTTTGAACTACACATTAATAATGTTTAAGTAATTGAAATGATGCTAAAAGTTATCCTTAATGAAATACTTTGAAGTACACTTTAAGGACTTTTTATCTACTGATTGATCACATGTCCAAGTCCCAGTTAACTTACCCATGTCAAAATTGTAGGTCTAAATAGAGGGGATTTAGAGTAAGAAAACTTGTTGACCCAATAAGATGTAAACACTAAAAAACAACAAACTTTTCTTTACAGGATCCAGAAGTTATGGTGGCCTTCCAGGATGTGGCTCAGAACCCAGCAAATATGTCAAAATACCAGAGTAACCCAAAAGTTATGAATCTCATCAGTAAATTGTCAGCCAAATTTGGAGGTCAAGCGTAATGCTGTTTTGACAAAGCCCTTGCGGAAGGCGTAGCAACCTAGATCGCTCAATGGCTGTCGCAGTAATACAAATGAGTGTACCTCCAACCTTCTCATCAAGAAAGCGGGGCGGGGAGGGCTTTGAAGATCATCCTTACCCGGCTGCCCCAAATGCGCTGAGATATTTTACAGTGGTTTGCCATTAGGGTATTGATTCAGATAATGTTTTCCTGTTAGGAATTACAAACTTTAAATGCTTTTTAAACCTTAAAAATAACTGAAATTATAAAAGGGTGTGTTAATTCCTACATTTTTCTCTACTAATCATTTTGGATTTTTATTTGAATTGGTTGGGTAAGGAAGATAAACTTAAGTATGGAAGACTTTTCACTCTAGCTTGTGTAAAATAAAGGTTTATCAGGCAGAAACAAATATAATTCATTTAAATAGATAAAATTGGAAAGATGGTTACTGAGGCATTTTGATTTGTCTTTTTAAATGCTTTATTTTTTAAAAAATGATTTATTTCTATAATAAAACTTGGGACCACCAGTATTGCAGTAGGATCTCTGTAGGGGACTAGACATGCTTGGCAGGGCAGCAGCAATCCTACTACATTTTATACAACATGAGCCCTTGTGCAGGTTGCATTTAAATCTAACACTGGTGAATGAAAGATTTTTGTAATGCTGTAGAATTGGATTACTTAGCTCTGTTCTTGTCCAATGTATAAAATAAATATTTCAAATTATTTCCACATAGGGAAAAAAGGGAGTACTGTTCTTTTTGTATTCCTGTGTTCAAAATTAACCTTTCTTGGTCAGAAGATACCCAACACTGCTTCTGCTTGTTTTTGCATTTTTTTCCCTTACTCTTAGGCTAAAGATAGGGTTGTTTTTTTTTTTTCCTCCCTCACTAGCATCGTCGTTGCTGCCATTATTCACAGCATGATTGTGCAAGCATATTTAATGCTGGATTTAGTTTAATATGTAACACATACAGTGATTATGTTGCGTGAACCTATAACAGCAAGAGTTTCTTACTTGGCCAAGAGATTTCATATTTGTGTGTTGGACTTAGACTTTAGTGAAATGCTGTCATATCAAAAGATGATGGAAGGAGGGATTCCCTTTGGTGTTTTGGGCTTCTCCTTAGGAAATACCTTTACGCAGTTAGAGTTTAATTAGTCTTGTAAAATTCATCTTTGTATTTTGGATAGTATGAGGCTTGAATTGATCCACCTAGAGGGGACCCTAACTTCCTAATTCAGCATGTATTACTAGACAGATGAGAGCTATGGTTATTCTTCACTGTAGAGGTAACTATGGAAGATTTATTTTTCTCCTGTTTGGCTCTCCCTTAAAGACTAATCATAGCCCCACTTCTGCTTTGACTGTCTTTGTTTTTGCCAACGAAAAAGAAAAGAATACATTGTTTTCTGTTGCACATTCTTATTTTCAAATGAGACAAAGTATAGGCACTGTGTACCTAGAATTTTACTAGGTTTCTACATATCTTTCCATTTAAAATGCTAGTGTTCAAAAGCAATTTCAAGGGACGATACCCTCTGTACTTTGCTTAGTTTGGAAAGTCAGAATGGTAGGAGTAGTGACGTAAGATCCATGGGGTACATTTCTGAAATTGTAAGCAAGTTGATTGAGGTTCTAACCCTTTTGCTGTGCACAAGCAGATAGAAATACATCTGTTATATAAAAGAGAAAAAACTGTGTGCTGATTGAGAATGCCTTTTAAACCCTTTAAAAGTACTCAGCATATAAACTTTTGAGCTTGCCAGTGTTCTTTTTGTTAATGTATGTTCTATTTTATCAAACTCCTAGTGTGTTCTGTGAATAACTCAGACCAGTAGTTTTTGAATTCCTTATTTGATTCAATTAACTATATATTATCTACAATATTTTAACACTGCAGATATTACAATAAATGGGTAAAATTGGTCTTCTGAAAATCTGCCGTATGCTTTTAGACTTTGAAGTTCTGCAGATAACAGAATGTGTTCTTCATTTTCATAGAAACTCAGCATCACTTCTAAACCAGAAATGTTTTTTTCTTTTGCTAATGATGCTAATATAAAGGAAAAGAAAAGGAGATTTTTTTCCCCTGCTTAAAAATAATGGTTATTGGATATTTCTAGCTATATTAAAAATAAAGTATGGTTTCAAACTGGATATTGACTTTCCCACCTTTTTTTTAGTACATGTTGTTTCTTTTATAACTTCTCTAGTGCTCATTCCTTTAAGCTAGTTACTAGGTACAATAGGCTGTAGGTTATAAAATGCTATTAACAAAAACCAAACCAGTTGCTTCAAGTCTATTCCAACCTTGTGTTGCAGAGTAGAACTGAGCTCCATAGGGTTTTCAAGGCTGTGACCTCTTGAAAGCAGGTGGCCAGGCTTGCCTTCTGAGATACCTCTAGGTGGGATTGAACCGTGAGCCTTAACAAGGATCCCTAAAAATACATTAGTTTCAGTAAAATAGCATCAGTTTTCTTTCAGGTAGCAAGCAGTTCAAAGGTAGCAGTTTGGGACTGGTAGGCCCCTTCCTGCCATACTAAAAGAGTGATTTCCATCTGTGGGTGAAAGGTGTTTACTCCTTTGATTATCTTCTAGCTTAAGAAAACAGGAGTAGGCTCCAGTGAAGCATCTGCTGAAATTGTTAGTGCTGTCAAGTCAGTTCCAACTCATAGCGACCCCTGTGTACAACAGAACAAAACACTGCCTGATCCTGTGCCATCTTCACAATGGTTATGCTTGAGCCCATTGTTGCAGCCACTGTGTCAGTCCATCTCCTTGAGGGTCTTCCTCTTTTTCACTGACTTTTACCAAGCATGATGTCATTCTCCAGGGACTGGTCCCTCCTGATAATATGTCCAAAGTATATGAGATGAAGTCTTTCCATCCTTGCTTCTAATGAGCATTCTGCTTGTACTTCTTCCAAGACAGATTTGTTCATTCTTCTGGCAGTGCATGGTATATTCAGTATTCTTTGCCAACATCATAATTCAAAGGCATCAGTTCTTCTTTGGTTTTATTCATTGTCTAGCTTTCACATGCAGATGATGTGTGGTCAGGCACACCTTAGTGCTTAAAGTGACATCTTTGCTTTTAACCCTTGAAAGAGGTCTTTTCCAGCAGATTTGCCCAGTGCAAGGCATAGTTTGATTGCTTGACTGTTGCTTCCATGGGCGTTGATTGGTGGATCCAAGTAAGATGAAATCCTTGACAACTTAAATGTGTTTATTATGATGTTGTTTATTGGTCCAGTTGTGAAGATTTTTGTTTTCTTTATGTTGAGGTGTAATCCATACTGAAGGCTGTGGTCTTTGATCTTCATCAGTAAGTGCTTCAAGTCCTCTTTCAGCAAGCAGTGTTGTGTCATCTGCATATCGCAGGTTGTTAATGAGTCTTTCTCCAATCCTGATGCCCCGTTCTTCATATAATCCAGCTTAGATTATTTGCTCAGCATACAGATTGAAAAGTATGGTGAAAGGATACAACCTTGACGCACACCTTTCTTGACTTTAAACCACTCGGTATTCCCTTGTTCTGCTGAAATGACTGCCTCTTGATCTATGTACAGGTTCCTCATGAGCACAGTTAAGTATTCTGGAATTGCCATTTTTTGCAATATTATCCATAGTTTGTTATGATCCGCATAGTCAAATGATTTTTCATAGTCAGTAAAACACAGGTAAACATCTTTGTTGTATTCTCTGCTTTCAGCCAAGATCTGTCTGACAGCAATGATACCCTTTGTTCTACATCCTCTTCTGAATCCGGCTTGAATTTCTGGCAGTTCCTTGTTGATGTACTGCTGCAACTGCTTTTGAATGAGATTCAGCAGAGTTTTATTTGTATGTGATATTAATGATATTGTTCGATAATTTCCACGTTTTGTTGGAACACCTTTTCTTTGGAATGGCTACAAATATGGATCTCTTCCAGTTGGTTGGCTAGGTAGCTGTCCTTAAATTTTTCAGCATAGATGAGTGATCACCTCCAGCGCTGCATCCATTCGTTCAAACTTCTTGATTGGTATTCTGTCAATTCCTGGAGTCTTGGTTTTCTCCGCTGCTTTCAGTTCACCTTGGACCTCTTGCTTCAGTACTCTTGGCTCTTGATCACGTGCTACCTCCTGAAATGGTTCGGTGTCGACCAGTTCTTTTTGGTACAGTGACTCTCTGTGTTCCATCTTTTTTGATGTTTCTTGCATCATTTAATGTTTTTATCATAGCATCCGTCAGTATTGCAACTGGAGGCTTGAGTTTTTCTTTCAGTTCTTGCAGCTTGAGAAACACCAAGCATATTCTTCCCTTTTGTTTTTCTGACTCCAGGTTTTTGCACATTTCACTATAATACTTTGTCTTCTCAAGCCACCCTGGCCACCTGTGAAATCTGTTCAGCTCTTTTGCTTCATCATTTCCTTTTGCTTTAGCTACTCGATGTTCAAGAGCAAGTTTCAGAGTCTCTTCTGACATCCATTTTGGTCTTTTCTTTCCTGTCTTTTTAATGATCTCTTGGTTTCTTCATGTGTGATGTTCTCGATGTCATTCGACAACTCGTCTGGTCTTCAGTCATTCGTGTTCAATGCATCAAATCTATTCTTGATATGGTCTCTAAATTCAGGTGGGATATACTCAAGGTCATACCTTGGCTCTCCTGGAGTTCTAAATTTTTTTCCAAGTTGAACTTGTATATGAGCAATTGATGGTTTGTTCCACAGTTGGCCCTTGGCCTTGTTCTGACTACTGATACTGAGCTTTTCTATCATCTCTTTCCATGGATATAGTCGATTTAATTTTTGTGTATTCCATCTGGTGAGGTCCATGTGTATAGTCACCGTTTATATTGTTGAAAAAAGGTATTTGCAGTGAAGAAGTCGTTGGTCTTGCAAAATTCTATCACGCCGTCTCTGGCGGCGTTTCTGTCACCAAGGCCGTAATTTCCAACCTCTGATCCTTTGTTTGCAACTTTCACATTCCAGTCACCAGTATTTATCAATGCATCTTGATTTCATGTTCGATCAATTTCAGAACTGTAGAAGTTGGTAAAAATCTTCAATTTCATCTTTGGCCTTAGTGGCTGGTGTGTAAATCTGAATAATAGTCATATTTGTTGGTGTAGGTGTATGGATATTATCCTATCACAGTGTTGTAGTGCAGGATAGATCTTGAAATGTTCTTTTTGACAATGAGGGCAATGCCATTCCTCTTCAGTATGTCCTTTCTGGCGTAGTAGTCCATATGATTGTCTGATTGAGAATGGCCAGTGCCAGTCCATTTCAGCTCACTAATGCCTGAGATATCAATGTTAATGTGTTCCACTTTATTTTTGACACCTTCCAATTTTCATAGATTCACACTTTGTACATTCCGTACTCTGATTATTAATGGATGTTTGCAGCTGTTTCTTCTCATTTTGAGTTGTGCCACATTAGCAAATGAAGGTCCTGAAAGCTTGACTCCATCCATGTCATTAAGGTCGACTCAACTTTGAGGAGGCAGCTCTTCCCCAGTTGTCTTGAGTGCCTTCCAACCTGAGGTGCTCCTCTTTTGGCAGTGTATCAGTGTTCCACTGCTATTTGTAATATTTTCACTGGGCAGTTTTTTGAAAAATAGACTGCCAGCTTCTTCCTAGTCTTTTAGTCTGGAAGCTCTGCTTAAACCTATCCACCAAGGGTCACCATGCTAGTAGGGGATATACCAGTGGCAAAGCTTCCAGTATCACAGCAATACACCAGTCACCACAGTATGATAAGCTGACAGGCACGTGGTGGTCTGCTGAAATACTGACACTGATAGGTGGAATTGATATTTTTTACTTATATCCCATTGGTCAGCTTTTTTGTCTTGAGGCCATATTTATCAGCAAGGAAAGGTGGAAAATATAATCCATAGCTATGTGGTCTTGTGCCCAACAAAAAAAACTACTGCAGAAGAAATGGAGAAAAGTCTTGAGTGACAGCTAGTTGTCTGCCACACTAGGAAACGGTGGGTTGAAAAGGGAGAAACAACTCTCATTTTACAGATGGTATAATGTTTGAAACTAATGCACCTGTGTAGGCATATATATCAAGTAAGTAGTACTTTGTGCCAGGCACTGTTACCAACTTACAAGTATTGACTCAAATTTGGTAATGACCGTAAGGATAAGTTACCTTCATTTTGTAGATGAGGAAACTGAAGCTCAATGTAAGTAAATTGCCCAGGATAACAGAGCTGATTATTTGTGGAGCTGGGATTTTCACTTAAATGTATGGTTCTATAGGTCTTTCTCTTAAACACCATGCTACCCTTTCTATGTAAAAGCTTGCTGCTTGCAGAATTGTTCATTGCTTCTAGAAATTAAAAACAAGTAAAAGGTACATATGAAAGGGATTAATTAAACCAAGGAATATCTCTCATCATGGCTGTATAAATGTGCACACCCAACATGAGTTTCTCCTAACAGGAAAAGACATAAGCCTAATTGAAGCCCTTAGTTCACTCCTGCCAAGCCCAAAAGTAAGGACAAGAAAAATAATTCTTAAGATTGTTAGTCAAGTTAGCATCAACTCATGGTGACCTTATGTATAACAGAACATAAATGTTGCCTGGTCCTGTGCCATCCTCATGATTTTTGGTATGTTTGAGTTTATTGTGGCTATTGCATCAATCCATCTCACTGAGTGTTTCACTGTCCCACTGTCAACCATTGTGGCCTTTTCTAGTGATTGACCTTCACTGATGACATGCCCAAAGTAATTGAGTAATTTTAAGGGTTCAATATGTACCAGTATTTGCAACCAATAAAGCAAACAGTAGAGCTCATAAATTTTGAGGAGGAAAATAAATAGACAGCAACTGGACAACAGAATAATAGCTATTAGGCTTTAGTATAAACTTGTGTATGATGTGCTGAAAATCTGGGTATCTAGTATTAAGTAGAATGTCTTAAAAGTTCACTCACCTGGATCACGAACGTTTTCAGGTTGTGGCATAAGTAACCTGACCCTAATTAGGCCAGTGTAGAAGTAGCATACGTGTAATGGCCAGTCTGGCTAGCTTCGTTTAACTCATTTTGTACTGTTGGCATGGATGTGTATAAAATGGTACTAAATTTGTTATCAGGGCAGACCAGCTTTTGTGAGGCCTGATGCTTATATAATGTAAGGGACGCTCTTTAAGAAAAATATAGTAACTACTTGTTAAGAAGCCTTGGTGATTCATCTGGTTAAGCACCCTGCTGCTAACCTAAAGGTTGGCGGTTTTAACCCACCCAGTGGCTCTGTGGAAGAAAAACCTGATGATCTGCTTCTGTAAAGATGACAGTCAAGAAAATCCAGTGAGGCAGTTCTATTCTGTTACGTGGGTTCGCTATGAGTCTGGATCGACTGGATGGCGCCTAACAACAGTATGAGTACTTGTTAGTTGCTGTCAGGTCGGCTCCGACTTTGGGACCTTATGTATAACAGAACGAAATGTGCCCAGTCGTATGCCATCTTCATGAAATATTGCTATGTTTGAATCCATCGTCTTGGCTGCTGTGTGAATACATCTCACAAAGGGCCTCCCTTGTTTTTGCTGACGCTGACCAAACACGATGTCCTTTTCTAGCGATTGGTCTTTCCTGATGATTTGTCCAAAGTAAGCTAGCCAAAGTCGCCATCCTTCTAAGGAGCATTTTTGTATTTTGAGATTGATTTGTTCCTTCTTCTGGTAGTTCATGATATATTCAGTATTCACCAGTACAACAATTTTAATGGATCAGTTCTTCTGTCTTCCTTTTTCATTGTCCAGCTATCACATGCAAATGAGGCAGTTGAAAAGACCATGGTTTGAGTCAGGCGCACCTTAGTCATCAAAGTAACATCTTTGGCTTTTATGAAGAGGTCCCTTGCAGCAAATCTGCGCAGTGCAGTATGTTGTTTGATTTCTTTTTGCCGCTTCCATGGACATGGATTGTTGATCCAAGTAAAATGAAATCATTGACAATTTCAACGAATAGTAAATTAGATACAGAAGTGAATATTTGTTTAGAATGAGAAAGGAAACATTTAAATATCTGAACGATCTTAAACATCACAACTGTTGTTACTTGCCATTGAGTTGGCTCCAACTCGTGGCAACCTTATGTATAACAGGACAAAATATTGCCCAGTCCTCTGTTGCTACTCCTAGTTTTCACTGGATAATTTTCAGAAGTAGATCACCAGGCCTGCCTTTCTAATCTGTCTTAGTCTGGAAGCTCCGCCGAACCCTGTCCACCATGGATGACCCTGCTGGTATTTTAAATACTGGTGGCATAGCTTCCAGCATCATAGCATCACACATGACACCACTGTATAACAAACTGACCGACATCACAACTACAGAGATCCATTTAACTGGCTGCTGTACTTCTGTAATTCTTAGTTTTTTTCTTTTGCTGCGTACTCTGATTTTATGACAATGATTTTGTAGTGGTTTCAGTAAACTAGAAAGTAAAGAAGGGAAGCATTAGTGGTTCCATGGTAGAATGCTTGCCTTCCATTTGGGAGACAGGCTTGCTTCCTGGCCAAGGCACCTGATGTACAGCATCAGTGGATGCTTGCATGTTGCTGTGATGCTGAACAGGTTTCAGCAGAGGTTCCAGACTAAGACTAGGAAGAAAAGCCTGATGATGTACTTCCAAAAATCAGCCAGTGAAAACTATGGATCACAATGGTCTGTTTTGCAGTCAATCGTGGATGTCCCAGGATCGTGTAGTGTTTCTGACCACTGTGCATGGGGTGTCCACGAGTGAGGGGCAGATTGGGCGGCAACTAATAAGGAATTCAGCTTTTAAATAGTTAATCAAATGGTTTCCTACAGCTGAAATAACAAAAAAAAGGAACTTACAGATGTACATTCTATCTGCTACAGGTTTATGCCTACAAGTAAGAATTCTGATTATTGTGTGCAATTACCATTAAGAAAGAAAAATATTAATATGGTGTGTTTATAATTGTGTAATGCATAATCCAGTATATTCCTGACGAGAGGGCTTCCAATTAGGAGTTGGTAAACTAATTCCTAAGTTCATTAGGCTCTTGCTTACCGTTTTTCCAACGATGCGCTTCTGCCTCTACATTCCAATGCCTAGATCATACCCGTTTGACTTTGGTCCTGTGCTTTCATGTCATGACTCCAGCAGGTACAGACAGTATTCCTGGAAGTTATTCCTACACAATGCCTAGAAGTAGTTTAAACATATATACGCCACTAAACAACTAAAAGGAGCCATGGTGATGCAGTGGTTAAGCGCTCAGCTGCTAACCGAAAGGTCCGTGGTTTGAACCCACCAACTGCTCCTTGGGAGAAAGATGTGGCAGTCTGGTTCTGTAAAGAACATAGCCTTGGAATCCCTACGGGGAAGTTATACTTTGTCGTGTAGGGTTACTGAGTCGGAATCAACTCGATGGCAGTGGGGTTTAAACACAACTGAGGTTTCCAGGTGGCACAAACGTTTTGCGCCTGACTACTAACCTAAAGGTTGGTGGTTTGAATCCACCTAGCGATACTGCGGGAGAAAAGGTTTGGCAATTTACTTCTGTTAAGATTACAGCCAAGAAAACCCTTCTGCCTTCCAGTCCTTGTCCCTGGACTGCTGTGCCTCATTAGTCCCGTTTTGTTTTATGGGGCTGTCCAATCCCTGGCTGAACGGTGAACCTCCGGAGGGGCTTCACCACTGAGCTAGAAGGGTGTCTGGGGGCCATACTCTTGGGGTTTCTCCAGTCTCCTTTAGGCCAGTAAATCTGGTCTTTTTTGTGTGTGTTAAGAGTTTTGTTCTACATTCTTCTCCAGCTGTGTCCAGGACCCTCTGTTGTGATCCCTGTCAGAGCAGTCAGTGGTGGTAGCCGGGCACCATCTAGCTGTACTGGACTCAGTCTGGTGGAGGCCTTGGTAGCTGTGGTCCATTAGTCCTTTGGACTAATCTTTTCCTTGTATCCTGTTCTCTTCATTCTCCCTTGCTCCTGAAGGGGTGAGACCAGTGGAGTATCTCAGATGGCTGCTCACAGGCTTTTAAGACCCCAGACGCTACTCATCAAGGTAGAATGTAGAACATTGTCTTTATAAACTGTTATGCCAATTGAGCTGGATGTTCCCCGAGACCATGGTCCCCACAGCCCTCCGCTCAGCAGTTCAGCCCCTCAGGAAGTCTGGATGTGTCAATGGAGTGTCCATGACCTTTCCTTGTACAAGTTGTGCTGGCTTCCCCAGTATTGTGTACTTTTCTCAGTATTTTTTAAAGTACGTCTACATAAATTAGCTTTAGTGATTCTCAAAGCAAATGAGGTTGCTGGTAATAACATTTTCATTTCACAAATGAGGACCCCATCAAGGTCAAATGCCTTGGCAAATTTGCCAAAGAGTAGATGTCCGGCGCGATTGCAAGTCCTGGGAACGCTAGGGCACTGCAGTAAGCCCCGGTACCCGCGGGCACCGCAGAAGGCATGCGTGAGCCCCGCCCCGCCCCGCGCACGCCCCAGGGGCCAATCAGCGCCCAGAGGCGTTCCTTTTTTCCCCGCCGGGGCGGGGGAGAGGGGCGTGTGCGTCCTGCGACCGGGAAGTGGTTGTCTTATAGGAGGTGGGCTGACCTGAAGGGGTGGGGCTTGCGACACTCACGTCCGGTGTTCCAGTGTTCCATTCATCTTACTCTTTCGGCTGCGGAACCTACGGGAAAAGTGTGGCTCCGTCAGCGGAGATAAGCGCTCATGGCTTCCGTGCTGTCCTACGAAAGCCTGGTCCACGCCGTTGCCGGAGCCGTGGTGAGGCGGGGCCTTCACGCCTGGGGTGTGGGAGGGGTGGTCCTGGCTGTGAATGGGGGATGGGGATGAGAGGGAGAGCTTGCGGGTTGAGGTCTCCTGTCGTGATGGTAGGACAGAGAAACGGGCCATAGGCGGAAAGTTACTGGAAGAATTTGTTGGGGTGAAGGCCGGCACTCGCCCCCTGGGCCGGCCAGCGCTCTGTTCTCTTGGAAAGCATCTGACTTCAGTGTTACTTCAGAGGAACATCACTAAGCGGCGGTCACACATACCCAGAGGAGAGTCAGGAAGAAGTAAATTGTTACATTCTTTGCCTCCCCCCGCACACACAAACTTTGCCTCACTGGACTGAAGAAACTAGGTGTGAAGTTGTGTTGCTTAATCACATGCTTCACTACAGCCTATTTTCACACACTTGCCGCAGGCAGGTGGCAGTGCCTAGTAGAATATCTTGGCCAACGTTATTTGGCAGGGGAAGATAGGTCTTTTCTTTTTTTTTCTTTAATCAAGATCAGGGTTGCTGCCTGTGGAAAGATGTGGTATGCGCTTAGTTCTTGGGCTTCTGGAAGTCTCAGTTCCATTTGACACTGTCGACACACCGCTCCTTTTTTCCTTGAAACTTTCCACTCATGGCTTGGAATACTTTTCTTGTTCTCCTCTTATCTCTCTGATTGCCCTTTCTCTTATCCTTTATTAGTTGTCTACACCCACCTTTAGCAGTTGGAATCACTGTGACTTCAGAGGAACATTACTAAGTCCTCTTTTTGGCCCCCCAAAACTTCATTGAGAGCTCATGTTTTGTGTAGGCTAGGAGCCCTTTTTGCGCAGGGTCGGTAGTTTGAATCCACCAGCTGCTCCTTGGAAACCCTGTGGAGCCGTTCTACACTGTCCTATAGGGTCGCTATGAGTTGGAATCAACTTGATGGCAACAGGTTTTTTTTTTTTTTTTTGGTTTAATATAGATTGAACCCCAACTCTGGTATTTGTTAGGTGGCCCTGTAAACCTCACTTTCTTAATTTGTAAAGTGAAGATAATGATACCTACCTCACAGAGTTGTTGTCAAAAGTAGGTGACAGGACATTTCGTGGAAGTGCCTGATTAAGAAGGCTTGATTCATTCACGTAAGCCAGTGTAAAAGACACTGAGTTGAGCACTTGCTTGACATGCTCTAGGTTCGGCGTGGAGGCTTGTGTGTCTGGAGTGGAGGGAACAAGGAGGCAAATAGATTTTAGGGGATCAAATTATATGAGGCTTTAACTCTGAGTAAGAAAGGGTGCTAGCTATTGGAGGTTTTGAGCATAGAATGACTGATTTACATTTTAAACATGATCACCTTGGCTCCCCTGTTGAGAGTAGACTGTAAGGGAGCAAGTGCCAGGATGGTAGCAGTGGAGGTGGTGAGAAGTGATCATTAACCTGGACTATATTTATAAGATAGAGCCACTAGGGGTTGATGGTAGATTAGATGTGGGGTGTAACAGAATGAGGGTTGGTTGACTCCAAGAGTTATTGACTTGAGCCTCTGAAAAACTAAACCCAAAAATCCAAACCCATTGCTGTCGAGTCAATTCTGACTCATAGCGACCCTATAGAACAGAGTAGAACTGCCCCATAAGGTTGCCAAGATTTTGTAATCTTTTCAAAAGCAGACTGCCGCATCTTTCTGCTGCCAAGTGGCTAGTGGTTTCAAACTGCCGACCTTTCTGTTAGCAGCCAAGTGCTTTAACCAGTGTGCCACCAGGGCACCTTCTGGAAGAAGAGCTTTCTCATTTACTGAGATGAAGTCTGAAAGAGCAGGTTTTGGGGGGAAAGATGAGTTTGGTTTTGGACTTGAGTTTGAAGTGCCTAAGAGTAGTCATGAGACTAGATGTGCTTAGCAAAGAAAAGAATTAAGTGTGGATTGAGAGAAGAGTCTAGAGGTTGGGGAAATGAGATAGCACTAGCAAAGGAATCTAAGGAGGGGCCAGTAAGGTAGGAGGAAAACTGAGAGAGTGTGGTGTTCTGAAAGCCATATGAAAAAGTGTTTCAGGGAAGATGGTGTAGACCAGCAGGATAAGATGCTGCTGATGGGTCAAGTAAAATGAAGCCTGAGAATTAACCATTGTATTTATCAACATGGAGGTCATAAGAGACCTTGAGAAGACAATTTTGGTGGAATAGTGTGGTGAATAGTTGATTGGAGTGCATCTAAAAGATAATGGGAAGATGTTTGTTCTCCTTCCCGTCTTTCGATAAATGCCATTCTTTCATTCAGTGTCTTTATTGAATGCTTTGTATGTGCCATGCACTGTTCTAGGTGCTAGGAATATAGTGGAGAACAACATGCTGTCATTGTGCTGTCGTCCCCCCCCCACACACACACGAAGAATATCCTTTTTTCATAAAAGTTTGCTTTCCAGTGGGGGAGTTGGACAATAAATGAGTAAACAAAAAAGTGAATAAAATAATTTTAGATACTGTTAAGTTCTATAAGAGAAATAAAATAGGGGTTGGCAAACTTTTTCTGCAGAGGGCCACATGGTAAATATTTTAGCCTTTGCATAAGATCTCTGTCACAGCTAATCAACACTGTAATGGCATTGTGAATGTAGCTGTAGACAATGTGTAAACTAATGGGCATGTCTGTGTTCCAGTCAAACTGTTTACAGAAACAGGCAGTGAGTTGAATTTGGCCCATGGGCTGACCACTGCTATAGAGTGACAGGGGATAGAGGTGATATATCTATTAATCTATGAAGACATTTCTAATTTTTTTTCTCTCCTTGTACTTGTTGCCTTTTTTGCTCCTGTTAAAATTCTTCTTGAAATTATGCACCCTGAATATACTATGTTTTTTCTTTCTCTCATAAGCTGTATTAACTATGTGATATCTCTCATATAATATGAGCTATATTATGTCTCCATAAGCTGGTATACATATTTTGTAAGAAAACTTTTTTCCTCTTGGCTTACTCTCAGGGCAGTACTGTTCTTAGCACATCTAACTGAGAGAGAAGTTGCTTTTTGTTCTGTTATCCTTTCGAACTAGCATGCTAAAGAGTGGTTCTCAAACTCTTTTTGCAGACCTCTTTATTTAGGTTAAACCACACAACATGGGTCCAACTTTCTTTTGGTTGCTACCAAAGGAAAAAATTTCACCACAGAAATATGCCTATAGTTGATGAGAGAAGTGGCATTGCTTTTAATGGTATAATATTGAGATGGTAGCTGGTGTTTAATTAAATATCCTAAGCATGATGTTCAACAAAGATTACAGATGATCATGAGGTGTCCACTTAGCATAGTGATTAAGAGCCTTTGAGTGCTTGACTGCCTGACTTGAACTGGGCAGACTGGGTTAGAATCCTGACTATGCCTCTTACTAGCTCTGTGACCTTAGTATAAACTCCAAGGCTGCCTAGAGTATTTGCTTCTACCCAAAAGATTGTTGGATCATTGTAAAATGTAGATTTACAAACTTTTTGAATTGACCTTTTATGTTTATTTATTCACTTTCTTCCAAGTTCTACACCCTCACACATCAACTGTGATATTTATGCATATATACACACACATTTTAAAAATTAAAATAAACAAATTAGTGATTTTGAGTGTTTTATGGCATGCCTTGTGTGGTGCGATGGATTGCTTTTATGTGGCCTTTCTCGCCATGGTCTTGTAACTCCCACACAAGTAATTAGGTGGGACTGTGCAGATAAGGTAGTTGTGGCTCACCAAGAAGATTGGTCAGTTTTACCATCCTGCTAGGCTTAAAATGAGCCATCCCAGAGGTAGGAGGAGAAGATCTCACCACCACCAAGGAAGAAAAGCCAGGAGCGGAGCGGATCCTTTGGACCTGGGATCCCTGTACTGAGACCCTCCTAGACCCAGGAGACAGAAAGAGAGCTTAACACCAAAGATGGCAAAATGGCGAGAAGCAATGGCATAGAAATGGCAGCAGAACCAGGAGACTGGCAGGAGACAGTGTGATGGGCTTCCCAGTTCACATAGCGAGAAAGCTGAGTGCCTCCCGGCTAGGTGTGCTGACCCAGGGAGCAAGAGCTGAGCCCTTCAGGCCAAGGCTTGGTGGCGGAGTGGGGTGTCTCAAGGCACTTATCAGTAGAGCTAAAGAGGTTTGTAGCACTTGCCAGAGCAGGGCAGAGGCCAAGGGGTCAGACAGGCATGCCTGTGGACACAGCTGAGAAGAGGCTGTCCTGATGGAAGAACTGTATCCTGAGTGTTCCTGAATGTGAATTGTAACCTATTACTTTCCTAATAAACCCCATAATTGTGAGTATTGTCTGTGAGTTCTGTGTGGCCATTGCAGTGAATTATCAAACCCAACAGAGAAGTAGAGAGTGCTGTGGGAGGGATGGTTGGCGTCAAAACTGGTAAAAAGTTGGAGAGTGGAAGCATCTGATGTCTGTCTCATAGGAATCAGCCTTGATCTGTTGATCTTGATTCTCCTTCCCGCTTGTGAAATTAGAGGAGGTCAGATGCCTCAACCATGCCATTTTTACACCTTGGGATAATTGCAGATGATCTTCTCAAGCGTCTCAAAACCAGAATTGCACTGTCTGAGGAGAATATTGTATCTCCAATTGATGACTATTATGTGATAAAATTAATAGCCTTATATATACAGAATTCCCAGAATTTTGAGTATAGTTAAATTTATAATTTTACATTTTGGTTCTCATTAGATTAATTTTGGAAGATAGATTTTATTTGTAGAAATGGGCATTTGTAGATTTGAAAGGATTTTCTTAGTCTAGAATTTGAAAAGTGCTGTTTTTTGGAATTGTCTAGGGTGGTTTTGACACTGAAGCAGACATTGAAATTGTAATGTTAATTAATAACTTTTAGGGGGACTCTTTTTTTCCCCCTTATTTAATTTTTTTTGTTTCTTTGCATAATTTATATTTAAAAGAATTACGTGCCATTGAATACATGCTAACTATTAAAAAGTTCAAATCACACAGAAATATGAAAGAGTCCTCCTTATCTTTTCTCCCTCCCCAGC